GGAAAAAATCAAATTTTTTTAGGAACGTCCTAGAGACTCGGGAGTTGGTTCATTGCACTCAGAAAAATCCTAGCTCCAAGCCCAACCCTAACCCTAGCTCCAACACTAACCCTAACTCCAACCCTAACCCTAACCCTAACCCTAGCTCCAACCCTAACCCTAACCCTAACCCATGCATTCCTATGGGAAAAAAATCAAATTTTTTTCGGGAACGTCCTAGAGACTCGGGAGTTGGTTCATTGCACTCAGAAAAATCGTAGCTCCAAGCCCAACCCTAACCCTAGCTCCAACACTAACCCTAACTCCAACCCTAACCCTAACCCTAACCCTAGCTCCAACCCTAACCCTAACCCTAACCCATGCATTCCTATGGGAAAAAATCAATTTTTTTAGGAACGTCCTAGAGACTCGGGAGTTGGTTCATTGCACTCAGAAAAATCCTAGCTCCAAGCCCAACCCTAACCCTAGCTCCAACACTAACCCTAACTCCAACCCTAACCCTAACCCTAACCCTAGCTCCAACCCTAACCCTAACCCTAACCCTAGCTCCAACCCTAACCCTAACCCTAACCCTAGCTCCAACCTTAACCATAACCCTAACCCTAGCTCCAACCCTAACCCTAACCCTAACCCTAGCTCCAACCTTAACCCTAACCCTAACCCTAGCTCCAACCCTAACCCTAACCCTAACCCTAGCTCCAACCCTAACCCTAACCCTAACCCTAACCCTAGCTCCAACCTTAACCCTAACCCTAACCCTAGCTCCAACCCTAACACTACCTCCAACCCCAACCCTACCCCTAACCTTAGCTCCAACCCTAACCCTAACCCTAGCTCCAACCCCAACCCTAACCCCAACCCTAGCTCCAACCCTAACCCAAACCCTAACCTTAGCTCCAACCCCAACCCTAACCCTAACCCTAACCCTAGCTCCAACCCTAACACTAACCCTAGCTCCAACCCTAACCCTAACCCTATCCCTAGCTCCATCCCCAACCCTAACCCTAACCCTAGCTCCAACCCCAAACCTAACCCTAACCCTAGCTCCAACCCTAACCCTAACCCTAACCCTAGCTCCAACCCTAACCTTAGCTCCAACCCCAACCCTAACTCTAACCCTTGCTCCAACCCTAACCCTAACCCTAACCCTAGCTCCAACCCTAACCCTAATCCTAACCCTAGCTCCAACCCTAACCCTAACCCTAGCCCCAGCCCTAACTCTAACCCTAACCCTAACCTCAGTAACCTCTTTCATAGCTTAACCAACCCCTCACCCTCCTTTTTTTGTATCAGAGGATGAAAAACAACAGGCGAGGAGAGTTTCTCTGGCCAGTCACTGTGGCAAGATCTATTCTCTTTCTATCACTCAAATCCCTTTGGAAGCAGAATGATTGCAATCTGATCACCTGTTTCCCTCCCCCATCCTCTGAGACTTTACACTAACTCACTCTGAAAACTTACTCCTGTAGACAAACTTCACCCTTTACCCTCCCTACTAACATCACCTATTCCCTTCAATAAATACTAACTTTACTTATTAAAATAAAATTATTAAAACTACACCCATTCCAATTCTTAACAACCCCCCCACCCAAAAAAACAAAACAAAAAAAAACAAACAATTTATCTACAAACACATCGTCAAATTGATAGATAGCATAGCATACCAATTGAGCTGAGCGGTTATAACTTACTACGCACACATAAATGTTTATCTACACACAGATTGAGCTCAGAGTCTCATGACTGGGAACAAGTGCCATATCAACATGCGACGGCCAGTGCAAGCCCTTAATATGCCTACCCCAAACCGCCAAGTCAAGTGTCAAACGCGGGGGCAATCACTGTATCTCTAACACAAACCTAACCCTAACCCTAGTCTCAACTCTAACCCTAATCCTTACCCTAACCCTAGTCCCAACCCTTACCCTAGCCTCAACCCTAACCCTAACCCTAGCCCAACCCCTAACCCTAGTCCAACCCTAACCATAGCCTCAACTCTAACCTTAGCCCCAACCTTAACCCCAACCCTAGTCTTAACCCTTACCCTAGTCCAACCTTAACCCTAACCCTAGCCTAAAGTCTAACCCTAGCCCCAACCCTAACCCTAACCCCAACCGTAGTCTTAACCCTAACCCTAACCTTAGCCCCAACCCTCACCCTAAACCCATTACCCTAACCATAACTTTAACATTTTTTGACATTTTTTTTGTAGGCATTGATTCAAAATGGTCTTAAACATCCTGAAAAAGGTCCTAAACAGTGATTTTAACTCTAACCCCAAAGTATTGCTAATCCTAACCCAATAACCTTAACCCTAATGCCATATCTACATACCCTGTTCTTGTAAATCAATCAATCAATCAAACTTTATATATTAAGAGATCTAAAATAATCAGATGAGTAGTTATCTGCAGGATTTTTAGAGCTCAAAACAGGAAGAATGTCGAGGGTGAGTGTTGAGCTGATAAAATCACAAGATATTTGAGAATCAGTCTCAGGCAAGACAGTCTACGTGGATTGGCAATCTGTCATTAGGGAGCAGCAGAGCCAGAAACTTGAGCTGAAACAGAACTCCCACAGAATCTTCTGAGTGCAAGACCAACTGGATAAACTTCTGATCAGTGAGTGCAGGCTAGCCTAAAGGAGCAGAATGTAGTTTGGGACACCCTGGTGTTTGAAAACAGGTATTACAGTCCACACTCGAAACATTGGAGACCCCCCCCCCCTTGCTTACTTGTTAGCTGTCTGCTTATTTGGTCAGGAGAAAAGTGTCCAGGCCCTAAAACCTCCCTGCGCTTTAACTTAAAACTCTTCATTTAAACTTAATACGAGTTTTGCCACCTTTGCCACACTCAAGTCTCTAGGTCGGGTTGAATCAGTTCCAGGTGTATCAGTTGCTCACTTGCCTGGTGTCAGGCAAGTGAGCATGTTTTGGATGTTTCCCTGCTCCAACACACCTGATTCAAATGATTAGCTCGTTATTAAGCCATTTTAGAGCTTGATAACGAGCTGATCATTTGAATCAGGTGTGTCGGAGCAGGGAAACATCCAAAACATGCAGGACGGGGGGCTCGAAGACTGGACTTGAGAACCACTGCCATAGTGCCTAAAGAGAGAGGCTTATTGAGGTTATTTATAGCTGTATTTAGTAGATATCACATACTCCTTCTTTAATCATTTTGATTTAATGTAGTAAAAAATGTTCTCCAGAAATCAAATCTCTTTAGGTTTATGTATGATGTTACTTAATGATAATAACTCATTGGATTTCATGGTCCAAAAAACTTAATTTCAACTATTTTTTCCAAAGTCAATTCTGTCGTTTTGGAGATTTATCATTGAGCCAAGTGAAAGTAAATGTTTTTTAAATTGATGTCTTGGAAGCCTATCAGAAAGATTAACTACAATTTGCTTTGTGCTGATGATTTTTGTTCACCCTTTCATTTTCCAATAACACAGCAATATCATGTATGCTCACCTCATCTGAAATAAACACTGACAGAAACAACATACAAAAATCTATTAAGACTTTAATTTTCTTTACGTTTTTCAATACATTTTTAACAGTGGTTGAATAATTTACATAATAAATAAAAGCAAATATTCATTTTCAAGGCATTTATAGCAGCAGACGTGGCCTATAGAGTCTAAAAGTGAGAGTTTGGGGTTGATGTCTGTCCCATCCAGCTTTAAAATCAGGCTGGGTCAGTCAAACCCAGTTTAATACTGAAGTATTAAGCCTGAGGTTGAATCAAACCTGTCAAACGTTCTCTGGTTGACTCTGCACCAGTGTTAGGAAATTAAATAAGAAACAAGGAAAACACTGGTGTTGATTCTAAAGCATTGGAAGTCACAGGAGGTAGCATCTTACTCTCCTGCCAGTTTTTTCTCTCTTTTTTCTCTTTTTTTTTTCCATGCAGCAGGCCATGCTTAATGACCACCATGATTTTCATAGCAATCTACATGTAACTGCATATTTCCTAGTCTTTGTAATGAAAGCTGTACAGGAATTGCATGAACGTAAAGCTACGTGTTAAATGATAGCACGGAAATCTCCTCCTAACAATTTACCCAGATGGTCTCTCTTAAAAAAAGGCAAACGATCAGAACAAGACTCTGGCAGACTGCAACACTGAGGAGTTGGCATACATACAAAAAGAAAATCACAAAAACATACAATGACTGCAGATCTGCCAGTTTATGCACCCTGATATTGTACTCAGCACATAACCTTTATTTCAGAGACTGAGGAGGAAACAAAACCTCATATTTTCAAAATAAAGTGGTCTCACCAAAGGAATTTCAGTTGGTTATTGAATCACATAAATCTCTCCAATATAAATAAGCCAATCAGCCCTCTCAAAATGATTGATGAGAACTGAAGCCTGTTGAGGTTAGGAAAAAAGTCCATGTAGATGAGATCATGTATCTAAATTCCATAAATCTCTCACAGGAGGTTAACAGCAGCCAACCTCTGTCATTTTTTTAATCATTAATGTCATTATGTTAAGTGGGATTAAGTATGGACATAACTCACTGGAAGTATATTATGCAAACAAATAATGTACCCATTTTGCATGATCAGTAAATCACGCTTAAAATAAAAGCAATATCACTGTCACCATTAAGAAAATGTGCAGCTTCGGCTGACAAGCTCACCTCTGGTCATGTGACAGGTTGACAGATTACATGTGCTAAATCTACAGTGCATTTTCTTTTAATACGAATGGTCATTTGGAGACTGCAAAGACTTTAAATTTTTTAAATGAAACATTTAAACAAATTAATTTATACTACATGAACAGGTGTGGCCTGGGGATTTGGGTTATAAATTATGCTAAATCTGGGTTTTCTAGAAGCAGAGTAAGCACTGAGCAGCAGGCCAGACACTGTTGGGGGTTAATCAGGGAACAAAATGACCACCTGTTTTTGCAATGCGATGAGGAAACTCTCACTCGCCTGATTGGGGCATTTGTACGGGGACTATTTTTGGGGTGGTTGCCTGATTGCTCTCTTGGAGAACAGCGACTTGAACAAGGTAATGTGGTTGTTCTAATGATTAGACTGGATAACCACACTGGGGTTACTGCCTGCTGGCATTGAGACTACAATGAAATGTCTGGTCTGAAATGTGGACACAGAAACCCATGTCTTCTTTTCTGTCTCACACACGTGTCCTCTCATAGATCAATCACACCACACACGTACAGAAACACTTAATTACAAGCAAACAGATAAATACAAGTGCATCTGACATTAACGCTTATTAATATACATGAAAGCATTCGGCTGTTGACACATGCAAACAGAAGCAGCCTCATGTGCACAGTCGTACACAGTCGGACTTTTAAAAGACACACATACTTGACATATTTACACAAAAGCTTACACATACATCCCGCTTGCACGTCCTCATGGCCACACACACACTCAGCTTGCTTGTAGCCTCTGCCAGCTTTCTCTCTCTGCATGCCGACTGTGTGTCTGGCACAGAGGTTAAGGTCTGGAGCCACACACAAGCTGTGTGCTCTGCCTGGCTTTTACACACTTCGAAAGGGTTTTATGAATGGCTGGGTCTCAATGACTGAGTCAACACCGGGGGCCACACTCAACCCAATCCTACAACGGTTTTTGGAGATAAGTCAGAAACAACATTCTCCCGGCGCAGCCAGGAAGCATGTTTAAATTAATTTGCCACCAGGTTTTCTTTTGTTCATTACGGCAAACATTGTGCAGTGGAGAGTGTCAGCCCACAGATGTGTTGCCCATTTGCCATTTCTAGATGAGCCAAAGTTCTTTGAAACAGCCCTCAGTGGCGTGTTTGTGTGCAAACGTGTGTGCATTTGTTTGCGCTCTCAATGCCCCATCAGAGCCAGCAATAAATCCAGCTCTCGACATTGCGTGGAGCTAGTGACTGACAGCCTTTCAGTGATTCACAATCTTGTGCCCTCTGTTGGATGCAAATGTTTTGCTCCATTCAAAATCAAAAAAATATTTTCATCTACTTTACATACGGAGTAACAAACAGAAATGCACACACACACAAGTCCTCACCACTGCTCTATCATTAGATCCAACACTCGACTGACATTTAGATCTGAATCCAGACTGAAGTCTGGCTCAACAAATGGAGCTGGTGGAGTAAGAGGATGAAGACCAGACGTCATCGTTTCAAGCCAGTCAGCAGCATCAAACAGTGTCGGAGCTCGTCGCTTTCTAGACTTCCCAGTAGATGACAAAGGAGATGTGCAGATAGGGGGTGGAGGAGGAGCTGGGATCACCTGGTTTGGGTTTATTACAGCTGGAGACGGAGGGAGCTCCAGCAGGAGGGATGAGCAAAGAGGTGAGGGCAGAAAGCTGTCATCCTTATTGTGCTGCTGGGAGGCTTGTGACTGATCAGGCTGAGGAAGAGGAGGAGGAGGAGGAGGAGAGGGTCCAGGGACTGTCTGGGCAGGGGATTTATGATCAGAGACACCGTCAGAGCCTGTAGGAGAGGTAGTGAAAGGGATTTGACACAGGTATTGTTATCAGTTATCCAAACTGTTTTACTATACTTGTGGAACATACTAACCAATACAAGTAATCGACTCATCCAAGATGTCGTCTATGGACTGCCGAGGGTCCATCTTTGAAGAGGAGAGGGGGGAAGTTTAAAACACACACTTCAACTTTTGCTTGTTCTCAAAAAAGCAGCATCATCAGGTCATGTCCCAACATGTTCAGGAAGGCAGCGCCTGGATTAACTTTGGGGAGCTTATCCTAAATCCTGCAGTCTCTAACCTGTGCTCTCTGGATGGCCTCTTGAAGTTCTTCCTCCAAGCTGCGAACACCGGGCGAGGTTTGAACAGGGCTTGCTGTAATCTGCACTGGCAGCTCAAAATCCTGGCCAATCACATCGCAGGGTTGGCAGCAAAAAACCTGATTGGAAGGCAGAGATAAATTGGTTGGCGGGTGTTGTGCTCACATGTTTGAACAGTTTACCAGATTGAAGGTGGTGTAGCGCAGCCTTGCAAAGGGATTATATGGGATATGGCTGTGTTGCTTGTGTGTTTACCTGTGTGTACAGCACCTCTGCCTGTGCATCTGTTTCTTTCTTGCCTCTGGAGCATCCGGGGTCCTGTTGCAGGAAAGGATGAAGAGATCCTCCACAGGACTGGAGGAGTAAGAAGAAAATAAGAAGAATTATTATGACTGTAGTAATCTTTGTTACATGAGCTTTTCTCCTGCAACTAGTCAACCAAAGCTACCTGCCCATGTTTGCTCACCTCTTTACTGGTGTTAGTGGAGCGGTCCCTGGGCCTGCTCCTTAACCTCTCCCTCATCTCCAGCTCCACACTCAGCTCCTGCTGCTGTTGCTGCTGCTTCTCGTTCTCGGTTCTCCATGAAGTCCCGCACTGCAGGGTCGAAGACGATGACATGGGTAGACTGGGACTTGGGGTTCCTGAGGCTGTGCTAGCAGGAGCTAAGAAGACAGTGTTGGTAAGACTACTGTTTTCACCCGCTGGGAAACCGTTTGACACCGTGTTCAGAATTCCATCAGGAGCTCCATTTGGAGTGTCACTGAGAATCCCATTAGGAATTCCCCTGTCCAGGATGTAAATCTGTTGGTTTGGACTCCTGTTGGGTGAGTCTAGTCCAGAGCTGGAGCTTGAGCTGGGGCTCTGGCTGGGTGGCAGTGGGAGGTAGGGGGTAAGGGGCTCCAGGCTGGTACCCAGCTGGCAAAGAGGAGCAGGGGTGGGGCTTGAGTGGGGGAGCTGGAAGGGGCGGAGACGTTGCAGTAGAGTAGGTTTAGTGCCAGAGACAGGGAGGCCACGCTTTCGAAGGTGCTGTCTCAACTCTGACACCTTAGGAAAGAGGAAAGCAGGTGTTATATTTAAGCTGTGAACATGAATTGTGAAGAGTATTTCTCTTTGAGTGCTTTCATGCTTTTCTTACAGTTAGATCGACAAGATTTGCAGGTAGAGGTTCAGGTTTGGCAGCAGAGTTTGTGTCCGTTGGTGTTTGGTTTGTCGTAGCAGGAACAGGTTGGGGATTTAGGGGCATGGCTCCAGAGGACTTAACTAGATCATTGTGATCTACACTGGAGAAATGACAGACAAATTAACCTCCCAGAACATCGCAGAGAGAACAGGCTCCATTTGAATGAGCTAGTGCTATCAATACAATCGATCTGATTGCATACCTGGGCACAACCATGACTTGCTGTTGTGGCTGTTGGTGTTGCTGTTGTTGTTGCTGCTGGTTCTGTAGGATTTGCAGCTGGAGGATGACCTGCTGCTGCTTCAGGAGATTGGAATAGGCTGGGTCTAAAGTCGGAGTAGGGCTCTTCTGTTTGGTCCCTGTAAAAATAATAACAGAGTTAACCTGGACTGAACGAGTAAAAAGAGTTTTTGAGTAGTGCTGAAAATTTAAGCATTAGATTATCGTTTACACGTAGATTACCTCCCGTCCCAGACCCTCCTCTCTGATCTGGAGGAATGTACTGGTGATACGTGAGTGTCCTCATTTTAGGTTTGGTGTCCCGCGGTTTCCGTGGGCGAGGGAGATGGGTGAAGTTGAGGGTGGAGGGCAGAGTGGAGGGGGTGGTGGGGCTGGGAGGCCGAGCTGTCTGTGAACATATGTTTTGCTCATGTTTTATAATTCTGTAACCAAACTGAGGAGCTGGTGTGTAACTCTAAGCATATGGAAAAGCATGTACAAAGCATCAAGTCATTTCACGTTGTTTGACAGCATTTGCCCCGTGTCAAGGTTAGACTCTAACATGAAATTGTACAAATGCCTCACAAATCTCCAGATGACAGCATGTGCTGGTTGGCTGACATACAGCATGCTGCTTGTGTGTGAATGTGTTAACCTACGGGGCAAGTACTGAGCTCCCCCAGAAGTGTAAATTGACAGTAATGAATGCAGAACAGCACAGAGTTGTGCGCTGTGTGTGACAAAACAGAGGAGTGACCGTCCTGTTAGGTTAATGCTCTTTTATCGTTTCAGGTGTACACCTGCTGGGTCTGTCGCCAAAGCAGTCACTTCAGCATACACAATCTCTGCATTATTTGTCTGGATAAATTGTTTTATTACTCTGTTGTTGAGCTTGCATTCTTGATCAAAGTTTTATGTGGAAAAGCTGTGAAAAGATTAAAACTAAAACGGATCCTCATAAAATTTAAATGAGCCAAAACATGAGACTTAAGTGACCACAGTGGGGTTTTATTAGTATCCAGTAACCCCACATTACCTTTGGCAGCAGTGGTGTGGTCTGAGAGGTCACATACATCCCGTTCAGTCTCCCAGTGGTTGCCATGGAGTTTGATTCACTCAGTGTTACACTCAGCGGCTGTCTGATGCCCTCGGTTGCCGGGAGCAACGCCAAACCAGACTGAAAGCAGAATATCAGATTATCAGAGTTGGCAGAGGAGGCTATTTATAAACTCTTCAGTCTGTTAATATTCACTTTAATGTGTTAATCAGAGGTTACTGGTGAGAATTAATTTAACAGGCTTCCTTGTTGCTGCTAGCATCGTGTGATACATGACTGTATCACAGAACCTGAGGGCTTTTCTCTTTTCTCTGTTTCTCTTTTTATGTTCTTTTTTTTCTTCCTTCCTCCAGGAAAGAAAAGCCATAAGAGGTTTTTTAAGCCTTCCATGAAACATAATATAAATTTTAAATATACCTTAAAATAAAAATAATTAAAGACACTGTTTTATGTCATGATTATGTATTTTTCTGTCATTTTTTAAAATTAGCCTCTTACATATTGGCATTAATACCTCTACCCTCTTTTCTAAAACAGTACTGTCACTAAAGCTTTAATGGAGCAACACCTACAAGGCAGTCGACTTCAGCTGCACTGTTCACACACTTCACTATGGGCATTTAAAACTTGACCCCCCACGTACAAATTTGGCATTTTATTAATGTTGCCCCACAAATATCCCAGCATCCATGCAAGGATTTGAGAAGATTCATAATAGCTGCACATATTTTTGTACTTTTAATGGGTCTGCCAACTTATAACTACGTTTGCAGTAAATGTCTATTGAAAGAAAATTGTTATTTTATTTTGCATCTTCAGGACACATCAAGGCCAGTTTGAACCTTATTGGATAGGACTCATTTAAAGAGGGCCCTTTCTGGGGCGCCCACACAGACTCTCCCCTGATTTCCAACTATATACACTGTTATGTCTCTAAATGAAGGTAAAGGACCAAAAATACAACTTCCAAAAAAAGGGAAAGGCACTTCATCTGTGTATCCGGGCAGGATGTGACTAATTTCAAACTTTAAGTGTATTAAACAGTCTGGCTTTTAGTTGAATTTTGTTTTAATCTTTTAATCTGCGTTACGTGATTTTACCCTATTTTAGTCCTAGAGTAACTATTTTGTGTTTTACCTCTTTATTAATTTACTTTTGGTTATTGTCTGATTTAAAGACTGTTTTACTTAATTAACTTTTAATGCTCTATCACCTTTATTATATTTTATCATTGTTTTATCATTTTAATCCTAGATCAAGTGTTTCCCCATTTTTTTAACTCAAGATAGCGTTTCCTCAGTCATCTGTGGCAAGTTGAAGAGTCCTCACCCGGTCTTTTGTATATGCATCTGTTTGTGAGCGTGTGAGTGCTGTATGTGTTGAATTGGGGTTGGGAGGATGGGTTGGGTTTGGTATTTGTATTTTCATTTATTTTATTTCATTGTTTTTTAATTTCGTGTGCGAATGGACAGCACTTTGTGCTACATTCTATGTATGAAAAGTGCTTTAAAAATAAAGATTGATTGATTGATTGATTGATTGATTGATTGATTGATTGATTGATTGATTGATAAACAAAACATGGAAAAGGGAGACTGTCAACACTGAAGCAGTGGTGACAAAGTGCTGACAAAGTGGCAAGAAAGTGGCGACTTCTTCAGAGCCAATTCAGACACATAATATTTCCCATCTATATATTTGGGCAAAATTGATTTAAATGTTTTTCACCTTCTTTGTTATTTAAACAGCAGAATGTTAAGTGTATGCTAGGGTCCAAAAGATTAAACTAGGGATGAAATACTTCAAATGGAAACAGTCCACAGGTGAAACTGTTCCTCACGTCATGGTGGAACATTTTTTAATAACTGTGTGTTTTACAGCTTTGACTTTTCCCTTCCCTTTGATGAAGTTGTTGAATCATTTTCACCTGCGTGTTTTTTATATAAGATCTTGCATCTGTGCTTGAATCACTGATTTTTCATCCTGTCTGACAGAGATGACACAATACATTAAACTAAAAAATGCTGCGAGGAAAAGAGGGAAGGAAAGACATCAAGAATGCACAGAGTGAGATATAAGAGGAGGCTCAAACTTCGATTGCATTGCCTCACCTGAGTTTGAGCAGGACTGTGGTTAAGAGGGGGAGCCACAGCTGAGAAGTCACTCAGTAACTGGTCACCTGAGAGCCCCGGCAGTGAAGAAAAGGCTGTGGACTGGTGGAGGCCATGTTGCTCAGTGGGAGAGGAGGAGGAGGAGCAGGAGATGTCATCTTCGAAGACACCAGCAGGTAGGGGGAAAGAGGCCGAGCCTGAGGAAATGAAGAGAGAAAGAAGGTGAGGTCAAAGAAGGAGCAGAGGAAGATTGGAGGGTGGGAAATAAGAAGGACTGTGTGTAATTCTGTGTGCCAGGATGTGTGTTGACTCACGGTTCTCCAGAGGCAGTGTAGGTTTTTCCTGTGGTTGCTGAACAGGCCCGGGCAAACGTTGGATCCTGTCAGCAAGGTCCTGCGCCTGGCGAGCCTTCTTGTGCCTCTGGGCGCCACACACAGTCTTCTCTGTGGGCAGGAGGGGAAGAGGGTGGTGCAGATAAGTAAGAAAGAAGGAGACAGATGGGAGATCAGCAGAAAGAGAGAGGAGGAAATTGGAGAGAGAGAAGCAACAGGAGTCCGAACATATGTGATGTGAGCGTGCACGCCACAGGCAATCAGTCCCAATTCAAACCAGCGGCAGCATCAAAAAATGGTAAACAGACGGCCCATTGGGAGACATATTCCCCTGGATATTTAACACATAGGCACACCTCACATCATATTTTCTAAAGAGCAGAAAAGGGTTGTCTGGGGGATCAGACAATTTGAAAAGACAGATACTAGTAATCTTTTCAAATTAAAAGCAAGGTTAGAGGCTGTTGAGAGGGAAGGCAGAGATAAAGAGAGAACGGCAGATTAGAGAGAAAGATGTCAGCGACGGCAGAAAATGATGACTCTGATCCTCGGATGGGCAGGTTTATCATGTGCTGTCAATCACTGATATGTTTGCAGACTGCTTAAAATGCAGTTAGAGTGTACAACAAGGTCACATTTCTGTTTAACTGACAGCTGATGAAACACCGAGCCCACTGCCAGATTTTCATGCTTCATTTCCTTGCACAACCACTACACAAGAGGAGGCAGAAAGCAGCGCAGATCAGATAAAGTACAAGCATAAAGAAGGTGAGAGAGGCAGAGAAATGTGTTGCAATGCATTTTGCCAGGAGCATTCGGGGTAAAGCAGGAAGAAGACAGCAGTATGTCTAAGGGCAAGGCATTACCTGATGTAGTTTCAGTGTTGAGACCACTAGGGGGCAACTTCTGAGCGGCACCGTCATCAGTTAGACGCTGCATCAGAAAACAGCAGGTCAAGCCAACAGCCATGGCCGTTTTAATTCAACCCAATAATTAGAAGATCAAACATAAGCGTACTTTAGCGCTAATGCTGCCTCATTAAACCTACATCAGAACAACTGTAAGGTCCTGTGTTCAGAGGATTTACCTCTAAAATCAGTCACATATGTTGGTCCTAACTCACCAGATGCTGGGGAAACACTGACCTTCTGCATATTGAACATTGTGATCTACAGTATATCGAGTTTTTCTCACAGCCAAGTTAACTGCACCGTTATGAGCTTCTTTTAAAGATGATGACACTTACTTCACTCTGGTCTTTCTCTGTTTTTTGACCGGTACAAGTTGACTTCAACCCTATGAAGACAAACAAGACGTGATTATTTTTTTAAACCAGGACCGTCATTTTAACGCTTCTATCTTTTATTTTTAACTGCTTTTTTATAATAAAGAGCAACTTTAAAAATCCAGTGCATCAAGAAGACCCTTTTAGCCTTTAACTCGGCCCTCCATGACACATCAATCCCTCTACTGTCAGAACAACTTCTTTGTCATTTTTGTCAATGACATATCTACTTACACTTTTATCATCAGAAAAAGCCAATTATCAAAAATGTGTTGTTATATTTCATGTGATTATATTTATGCATTTACTCTTATCCAAATTTTAAAAATTCTCCTAATTATGAGCAGCCTTTCAAAATGAAACTGTGTTTTAATGAAAAAAACCCCACCTCTAATAGCTGCTGTGTGTGTGGCTCTTAGCAGACTTGTTCATTTTTAATACTGTGCACAATTGTGCGCCCAGTGCCGTCCATTTATCCATGACATCTGAGCAATTATCATATCTAATATTTTCTTTGGATAATGAAATATAACAGCATGCTTAATTGGCGTTTAAAGACTACTGTAAGACACAATGATGACTCGGATTATAAAATCTAAAGGAAGTTTTATCTGGTCAATATGATCAACCTACAAAGGCATTTCCAGATCAATAGTCAATCATCTGGAGTGAAATAAGGTGATCTGAAGATCATTTTTATGAAATGTAGCCTAGCCTTGTTGTGTAGCTAATCAATCACAATGTAAATGATTGTCAAAGACTAACCAGGGTCTGCATTGATCTCACTCTGCCTTCGGTTCTGAATCCTCAACTGCAGCACTGAAAGACAAGAGCAGAGATCGAGTTCACTGTGTTAAAAACGATGAAATAACACAAGTTTCACTGATGAAACAGGAGCTTAGTTTGATTTCTCAATGAAGGAGGAACTATCTGAGACAAAAAAAGAGTGACGCTGATGTAGAGAAGGTATCAGGTCAGAAATACAGGACAACCTGATACCTGTGAAATGATCTGAAACTGTAACCTATATATCACCTCATGACTCTTCGGTGTTAGATTACATATCCTCTTGCATGCCTGAACACACACCTTCACGCCACAGGTATGCATGCGCACATACATGAACATTCAGTGTACAAAAAGGTAAAGTTGGGTAGAACTGGACTTGTCACACCGTGTGCCCTTCTCCCTCCCATGATACATTTCGGTGAGTTTTGAGACCTGGCAAGAGGAGGAGAGGGGGGTAGACAGCAAAGGGGGGGCAGGGAGGGCAGGAACTATTTATCTCTCAGTATGTCTATTTCTGTGGTCCCATCCCCCCATCAGCTGTCCCGCTCTCTCCACAAGCCGCCTCACGTCATCTGCATTTGTGTCGCTAACTATACTCTTCCTGCTCTGCTGCCTGTTCGACCATACAAAACAAAAGTTGGATGTTGACAAAATCAGGATCCAAGAAGGCAGACTGAGTCTGTCACCATGAAACTTTGAGAAACAGTGTTGGTCACTTTGATGCATCTGTTGGGTGTGTGTGTCTGTGTGTGTGTATTCGAGAGTGAGGGAGTGTCTACAGTAGACTGTTTTTGTTTAAACTGCAGGTCCAGCTCAAGTCCTAAGCCCTGCCTTAAATCATATTACATACATTACATAACATGGTGGTTCCCAACCTGAGGGTCAACCCTTCAACAAATCTGAGAGGCATCTTTGAAGGATTAACAGGATTAAATAAAATAAACCAAAAGGAAACAAGAGCAATTAATTACAACTTTTTAATAGATCAAATTTAGCGATCTAGAAGGATATTCTAATTATATTCATCGACACATACAAGCTATAATGAGGCTTTCAAAGTACACTGTCTATTCTGAGGTGCCTCATCACTGTTTTTATAGGAGTGCCACATTTTGTTGACACTGACCTTGTAACACGATGCATATTTTTTCTTTGATTAAGTCCAAATGTCATGTCAGCGGTCAACAAAAACACGAATCAATTATAAATTGATAAAGAACAAAATGGAAACAAAGTGTCTGCACAAAGTATGACCATGAGTTTGACTGAAACGTTCCCCTGTTGCATACAAACACAAACTCAAACAGAGCAGCTGCCCTGAAGAATCACGTTTTCCAGCAGGTGTTGGAGCACCTTAGGGGGCTGTCTCCATGTCGTTTCCTTGCCACTCTATTTTACCAGTCATTTACGACAGCTGCGTGGGAACACAAGAGCAGACGCTACGACTTGTAGGGAAACGTACATTATGCAGCAGTCCCAGTGGTTCCTGTTTGTAGCAGCTAGCTGGTTGTCTCCTGGAAGTAGTTTGTCAAACTCTCTGACGAGCTACTCTTTGGTTGTTCTGACTTTAGGTTCTCAAAGGACTGTCTGCTTTACATTTAAAGCACTTTTGTTATAAAATTATAAAATTACTTGAACATTTCTAGTTGTTGCGTTTTAAGTGTGGAAATCAGGGAAAATCACATACCTACAGATTTTTGCTTGGGTTCCTTTTTTAAGATGCAAATTTTAAATTCACAAATGTGAATTTTCTTTTTTACCTGTCTGGTTTTTCTTTAAGGTTGATATCAGCACACATATCCTCTTTTATCTCCCTCTATCCGCACTCGCTCATGGTTGACTCCTGTTGTTTTTTATATTAGAGTTCATGGTCTAAATCTGCTGTCCTGTTTTGGAGCGTCTTTTGTGATTTTGTGCTTTTTATTTGTTGCATGATCTCTTCTCGTCCCAACTATCTTTCCCTCTCTGGGAGGTTTTAAATTAACCTCAACCTAGAGGTCATCTGTCTTTTTTAACATGTGTATCAACAAACCAGCGTCACACAGTCACATGCAAAGATCTTTAGCTTCTGGCTCAACTGTCTCCACATATATTCAAAACATCCCCATCTGAAGAGTAGCAATCACTTAATCCATTCTCCATGATCAATAACTATCGATTATATGAGAGACAACTTGACTGAGCAGCCAATAACCTTCAACACCTCACCTTAACATATTGATGCTAATGTTGCCAATTATTGAGAAGATGTAAAGCCACCATTGTGCGAAAACAAATCCTTCTTTCTTTAATTGGTGCAACTCAAGACCTGAAGGAGCCTCACCTGAGCGGAACTTGTTCCGGATGAGGAGAGACCTCTCGGAGGCCAGCAGTGTCATGGCGGAGGAGAGGATGGAGAAGCTGATGCAGAGAGAGAGCGAGAGAGAGCGAGAGAGAGATAGAGAGAGAGAGGAATTTCCTGGTGTCGCTCTGCCAGGAGGAATGGACCCCTCTCCTTCTGTCTCTCACTGTTGGGAGGAGCAGAGGAGGAAACAGGGGAGAGAGGGGGACAGATGCTTGTTAATCCACTGATAGACACCAGCCGATATTGATAGAGACACACAAAGCACAGTGGAGATAGATTGAGGGGGAACTAGAGACGCAAAGACCTACAGGCAGACTGCAGAGAGCTGCTCGGGCCTCCCAATAGACAGTCTGTCATAATCATACATTGAGTCACAAAGAACCACCCACAGACACACAACAAACGACACAGAGAATTAGATGAGGGTGCTTTGAGAGGAGAGGAAGAAAAAGAGGGAAGGGGTGAGAGAAGCTTGCATGAGTGAGACAGATCCCCCTGGAAATATTTAGTTGGAGCCAGAGAGACTCTGATTTTGCTGGACAAACATGAACTCACACAGCATTGTACAAAACAGGAAGACCACAAAATGTGTCATGCACAAAAAGAAGCAAACAATGAAAGCTGTGAATCTACATAAGCTGCATTAGTGCACATATGCAGACACACACATACACAGTCACACAACCTATTAACAATATTGATTTGGACCGGCCGGCCACAGAACACCCAAAGGAAGCCTGTTTGAAGGGATCAGACAAACACACACATACACATACACACACGTTCTTTGCAAAAGCTGACGTGTTGCATACTGAATCAGCTCAGTCACAATCCCACAAATGCACACACACCTCACTTGTTTACAATCCTAAGTGTCTAAAGGAAGGCCTCTAGCTTGTGAATACAATCAAACACGAGGAAATTGATTGAGATTTCGGCTCCTGCTCAGGCATTATTTCACAGTGGGACACAAGCAGGCACTGAAAACACAGAGAGAATAAAAGTCAGAGAATGAAAGAGAATACTTACAGGAAGAGAGAGAATCACGTCCCTTGAGGGAAATTGGAGTGGATTTAAGATTAAATTGAGAGAAGTGCAAGATGGAGGAAGACAGGGGAAAGAGAGAACTTTGTGGTGCGTCTAATGACGATGTCTTTCTTTCATGTTCTTTTCATATCCTTTTTTTATCCTCCGCTCGCTCCTTCCTCTTACTTTCTTGCGTTTTTCTTTTTTAGCTCTTGCAGGTGAGCTGCAAGGAGGAAAAAGGACTTGTGCTTCCTTCGTCACCCTTACGATTGAAATTCAGCCTCTCTACCTCTGCCTCACTCTCTCTGCCCCCTCTCCCTATCCGCCCCAAAGCATCCTGGATCTTTGGTGCCAACTGTGAGCGACTGTCAAACTTTACCCCACCCCCCCTCCATGACCTCAACCCCCCTTCTCTCCCCCTCTCACTGAACAGCTCCCACCATGTGCACTATCACAGACAATAATCACTTATTGTGTGTTTGTTTTCGCCCACAGTACTCCTCGGTGAACTTTGTTAAAGGTTACTTAAGAGTGTGAAAAATAAAAAGTGAAAGTCACTTTATTACAAGGCAGCGAGAAAAGCCCAGGAGTGATTTGGACTCACATCAAATCATGAGCTGCAGCAGGACTCCAGGCTCAAATGTACCTGTCAGGACACCTTTGGGTCACCCTCTTAAAGTGATTTAGTACTGTTAGCATGCAAGTGTGCATGTGTGTACATGTGTACGTGTGTGTGAGGTATCACAAAGTCTCAGGTCAGTGAGTTAGAGTCAGTCAGCATGAAGTGTACAGTCTGTAGCAAAATCATCAGAGCTTCACCTCAAGCCTCTGGAGTAACTTTGGTCCAACATGTAGGAGAGTGTGTGTGTGTGTGTGCACATGGTCTCTACATGTGTATGTGCTTGTTTGTGTGTGTGTGTGTGTGTGTGTGTGTGTCTTTAGGCTGCAGAGAGGGGGGGAAATAAGTGGGGGAAGTGAGGTCGTAGCTGCAGCACCTGTTCTGTCGATTTGACAGACAGGTTGGTGTGTGTGCTGGTTCAGCAGGTCACAGAGGGGGTGACAAATGAGGGAGGCAGAGTGGGTGAGCCAGAGGGAGGGGGAGGGAAAAGGTTGGGAGTAAGGGAGGGGGACACCAGGGAAGTCTTTTCCACAAATACAGGAAGAGAGCCTGAGAAAGAGGAAGGGGAGAAAATACAGTTGTTGGCGTTTTCATCGGGCGTAGAATAAATGCAGCGATGTAGGGACGCACTAATCAGAAAAGTGCACAGCTGAAATAGCACTGCATGAGCCAATTAGGGTTACCATGACACAAAATGGAACAACTAATGGAACACAAAATGAATGGGAACTTTACTTTAATACGTGGTCACAGACGGACAGCTCTTTCAGATACTATTTGCGCAGCATGGCAGAGTTTTTTCTCGACATTAGAGAATCTCACCTTTGACGGCTTTTTCCCTTCTGCCCTGTTAATGCATTTTACACAAACACACAGTACACACACACACATACATGAACGGTGACTTCACTGACAACATGGCACATTATTGAGAGGAAGGTGATGTAATTGCTTCTCTCTCTCTCTGGTCGCCCTCCACACACTCTCCTCTAAAGCCTGGACTTTCTGATTAGCACCTGTTACACTCCTTCTCTCTCTCTATCTCGCTCCCTTTCACACAAAAACACACACTTCACTGTGTTAATCCTGCGCTGTGTCTAGTGAGGGATAAGGCTTTCACACTCTTAACCTTTCCCTTGTCAAATATCATATTTCCCTGTGAAAGTCTGCACTCACTGCATGCTAAGCTACATCATGCAGCGTGAAGAGTGAAAGAAATCTTAACGCTGATTTGATGTCTTTACCATATTTGTGTTCTTAACTGCTGAATCTGCAGAGTTTGAGTGAACTGTAAATCAGGATCACTCTTTTCTGCTATGCACACTGGTAAAAGTCTTCCTCCACCATGACAGAGAGCTGAAAAACAGCATGGAGAATATGAACCAGGTGTTATAGTGCCCTCACATGGCTGAAGGATGCAACAACAGCCATGCATGACAGATTTAAAAAAACAGAAACAAAAACCAATGCGTGGAAGTTTAGCTTCCTATTATTTTGGCTCTCAAAAAGGAATAATGGGACAACAGAGCAGAATACTAACAAGCAAATAGAGGTGCAGGGTGTATTACAGAGAATAAAAAGGCAGGGACACACACCGGCCTGTCTAACACACCTCATGGAGCAGCTTCTGCCTGCTCATTCATCACTGCACCCATTCTCCTCCCTGGCTCCTCTCCTCCCATACCTTTATCACTTCAATCACTTGGCCATGTGCCGTGTGCCACTCAGAGGGCCTGCTGCCCGTTCCACTTCACGCACATACACACTCACATGGAGAGAGAGAGAGGGGAAGGGGCAGATTTCCAACACACACACACACACACACACACACACACACCTCTGCAGACCTCACAGATTTCTTCCCTCTCTCTGTCTGTCATCCACCTGTCTGTCAGTCACTGCACTTTGAAGCTCTCTGCAATCTGGATAGCCATACACACACACACACACACACACACATATTGTACTGTATACACACACATCTCCAGCTGGACTGCTGATCTTACACACCGGATTGAATATTCATCATCATCACACTGAGAACCTTGAGCACTCAGCGGTGCAGCAGCCCAGCGGTGTCAATTAGGCACCAGAGTGTGTTTTTAATTTATTCTATTTTTAATAACTGACAGAGCGACATTGATTTAACAGCTGACCCCTCACCGTGACCTTAACAATATGTACGCACCACCTCAATAAGCCTCTCTACAACAAGGTTAGCTCAGGCTCTTGTCTCTTATAAGGCGGATGATGAAGAGAGGCTTACTGTAAGTGTGACTGAAATAAATTAAGTCATGTTCATTTTGAATTTCATCCCAGGGAATCATTTGATTTATGTGCTAATTACAGTTAATCTTTTATTGATGAGCGTTTCATGTTATAACATTGAATCGACATACAGAGAAAGAGCCCTTTTGTCAGAATAAGCTGATGTGAATTTTTTTTTTTTTTTTTTGCCCCATGAAGTTGTCTAAGTAGTTAGAATGTTTTTTAAACACTCTTATTATGTTTATCTATGGTTACATAATTCATTTATACATTGCGAAGAGACAAGCTAATTTCAAAGTTAATTTCATTCTGTTTCCAGTGTTTTGGTTACCAGCTAAAATTGCCTCACAGGAACCTGAAGGGGTACATTTGAGTCGATTTTTTCTACATTTTAATGTTCATGGCGGCTGTAAAAATAAGTTAGAATCACGCTGATGTAAATTAGGCTTGTTGGAGCAGAGTTATCGCTTAAAATAAGTAATACAGTGCATTCTGATAAAAAGAGACAGATAAACTGATGTGTGAGCCTCCCTACCTTAAGGTATTTCATTGTACTGATGCAAAAACAAACCTGCTCATGGAGTTTGTCACCTGGACAGGTGTTGTGCCGTAGGATGCACCTCCGACAGGAGCGCGGTTGAAAGTACTTAAGGCGAAAATAATCCAAGTTTTCCTTACCATTGGACGAATTCATAAGCGTGTGCCTTTAATAATTTCATTCAGGCTATTCAGATAAGCCGAAAAAATAGCCCTCTGATTCGGAATATTTGCTGTCCCGAAAATATAATGTTCGCTAGCTTGACAGCTTACTGTACAATTTATATACCCAAGCACACCTCCGTATGTGCATTTTTGAGACACATAAAAACCGAACGAAAGTTGTCACGATCAACTACTCGTAGTTTTAAAAATATGAGATCATTTTCTTCCACTTTAAGAAGCTAACGAGTGGATGGAATGCAGGGGGTGCATTCTACGGCACAACACCGGCCTCGCACAGCTAGATATAGTGCGGAAAAAGTTCACCTTATAGTTATCTAAATGTTCACTGAATACTTTTTCATATTTCTCATAGACTGTATATACTAAGGACAACTTGGTTTCACCTACCGCCTGTATACGGATTTGAAGCCAAATAGCACTCGGTATTTCCGGGATTTTTGTTCATTTCCTGAAACCAGTGCCGCGCAGTAGCGATGCGCGCGGTCACCGAGAGTCGCTGTGATGACGCTCGGCTCTAACAGCGTATCCCCCGGGAGAGCTACGGAATCTTCGTACGCCCATTGCCTGTATCAGGTGTCAATCATAGAAAACTTAAACCCCCTGATAACTTTTAAAAACGGAGCAAAAATAGAATAGTAGGACTTGAGCACAAACCAGTCTTACTGTAACTACATGTCAACATCACACGGGAGGGGGTTATGTTCTGTGTAATACATTTCTAAAGTTTGTCTACAGCTCCATAAACTTTGCTGGCGGAGGCTGGATTTAAGACCTCTACTACAGCCCATCAACAGAGGGTGCTGTTCTCGGAGTGGCTTCACCCAGGAGGGAGGCAGACATTTCTTCAGCCTTTCTTTAGCTCTGCTCCCTGAATTATTTTCTCCTCAACATGTCACAAACTTTTACAAACCACATACTTTATTTGCAGCAGTTTTATCATTATTAGAAAATTTGAAAAGCATAAATAAATTCACATAATCTCAGCATGCTCAAAATTCAGAATGGCTGAAAGTGAAATTTGAGGAGATTAGGGGAATTTTGAGGGTTTTGTCTCTCATTTTACACATTCAGTGATAGGAAGGAGTCCTGCTACAATCAGTATGGACAAGAGGAGCAAACTGATATTTCAATATGATGTCTTCAGTATCCATCGAAGACTCTGAAATAAGTAAACACCAATAAAAGTGTTATATTTTTTGCTGTGCTACCTATGACTCAGTGAGACCCTGATGGTCTCTGTTGTTGAGAAAGACTCCCTCGTATGATTTGCAGGTTATATATTCAACAAAAGGTGAAACACTGAAGGTAAGGTGTGTATTAAAGTTTTACAAGGGCAAATACTATCTCTAAAAGCAGAGTATCTCCCTGCAGCACAGTCTGCATTCTCAGAGAAACTCCTCAGTTAACCTTTGCTCCTCCACACCTCTCTCCTTCCTCTGACCCTCTGTGATAGTTAGCCTGCCAGAGTAAAATACGATGAAGCTTAACCTGGGCCTCTCAGTATATAGAAGTATCTCACACAATGGTTAGCGTATGGGACCGCTTTGAGGACCCAGTTGGGTCATTTGAGCGATACAGCGTTTAATAACTTATCTTGAGCTGAGCTCTGTTAGGCTCAGTGGCGTAAATGGAGCAGAAAATTGGGAGTGTGCAAAAAAACAGAGGACTGTCTTACAAACTCAATTACTCCTTGGAGGCAGTCCAGCGGATATAAATCAGGTATATTTCTCTTCTTCGTTTTTCCTCCTTTTTTCCTTTACAAAGATCAATGTGTGGTCCGCTCTCATCCTGGTTTATTAATGAAGAAAAGAAAACTGACTGTGAGGATCAGTTTAATCAAAGGAGATAAAAAGGCGCAGGCCTTAGTCTTCATTGCCAAGCAACATTAAGTCCAACCTGAACCTATCTTTCGTGTAAAACCACATTAAATGAACTTCAAATCTTTCATCATCTGCATATATAGTGGAAGAACAAACAAAACTGTGAAAAAAAAACTTTGTTAAATTGACAGTTTAATTCAAATAAGTTAACATAGTTGACAACAAACAAAAATATCTGAATTCTGTATTCATGTGAGAATAAATCAATACATTTGGTCAAACTCTGACAAGATATGAATAAAATATATAAAATAAAAAGTTGCGACATTAACAGCGAATGTTAGAATTTTTCTTCACAATGTAAAAAAATGAATATTTCTTTAAAATGAACATGTGCAAATGACTCACAGTGTCTCTGACGGTGAGAAAGATAGATTACATCTTTCATATAAGATAGTGCAGAAGTGCAGCTCTTACAAATAGTTCTCTTTAAATATATTTACAGACAGAGCAAAGGATTTTTACAGTAAATAGGTTTTTTCTTTTCTGAGCACTTGAGGGTTTTTCTTACAGATTGTGTTGGAATGCAACCTCATGTTTGCAATCTAATTAACATCTTTAACTGGAACAAAAGACAGAATTTCAAGTCAGAGTCCGCCTTTAAAATGACCCAACTTTTTTCCAAATGCTATTGTATTGAAGTCGGAGTGATTTAAAAGGCTGAACTTTTGGACCATTAAATGGAATTGGAAATATATATTTAAATATATATCCTCATAAATAAATTACTTCAAAAGCATTAAAATAAATATTGCAAGTGCTCCCTACTTCGACTTTTCACTAATGAGGAAAGTTTAGTGTCTTGCACTTTCTCACCCTGCTTATCTCCCTCTTCACTTTGGACTCAGTGTGTGCACACAACTTTTTAGCTTTCCACCTCAGACTCAGAGTTTTCCAGATGAGACACAGTGGAGTTGTACCATTCAGCACACTCCTCTTCCTCATGCATTCCAGATCCTTCCCCTCCTCCGCCATCTACTCGGCTGCCCGTCCTCCTTTCATTCAGCATCTCCATGGCTACTTGGTGGTAAGGGTGTTTGCGTTTGGTATGTCGGCGTAACGTGTTGCGCTCAGCAAAGCGAGTGTGGCAGAGTTGGCACTGGTACGGTTTCTCTCCGGTGTGGACCCTTTGGTGGCGCTGCAGCTCACCTGCCTCCCTGAATCGTTTGGAGCAGATGGGGCACACAAAGTTCCTCTGGCCTGTGTGGATGTGCTTGTGTCTCTGAAAGGGAAAGAATAAAGATTTTACACTAAACAGATAAACATTTTACTCTTTTTTGCACTGCTGCAATATGCCTGTAATCCCTGTAGCTGTGTGCTAGTCTAGGTGTGCTTGGGCCTAACCTTGTGACACTCATGCCCACTGAATCAAAGGCTTCTTAGTAGATCATATTCAAGCACTTGATACTGATACCGTTGTGTCTGTCAGCTGTTTGTATGCATATAAAGAGGCTCTGCCTTTCTACTAATGTACCTGTCAACTCCTGTAACTTGACCTGTGACATGACATTTATAATGAAAAGGATCTGCATTCAGGCAAGTGTTTGTAACGTCATATTGTAGTTAGCATAATTGTTTTAGAACCTAGTATGGATTGAATTTAGGGTTAGCTAAATCCATGCAATTCTCTGTGTGCCCACCTGCACCATAACTGCACCATACATACATCTGTCATCTGCCTGACTTTCACTCAGCTTCTGTCTCATTAACCATTGACGGTAGATGGCTGTCCACCAATTAATCTGGTTCTCCCTGAGGATTCTGCCTGTTGTTAAAAGACAGTTTATCATGCACTGTGAAGTGACAGTGATATATGAATAAAACTGAGTGCTTGATTGTTAGATTTTTTTCAATACAGACAAATAACACAATTTATAAAATTCACCAAAACTGAGCTCTGCATCCCCAGCATCTTTAAAGTCTTGGCAACCTTTTACAGCTGTAATATTGTCATAACAGGCACTAGCAGGTAGCAGTTTCAAAGCTATAAAGCTCTAAACAGCTGCGATACAGTACCCTCACAACACCAAACATCAGACACACACAATTAGCAACAAGCTGGTGTACACAGCAGAGTATATAGCAACTAAGGAGGCAGATATCTCCCTTGGGAATCAAGAGTAAACAAAGCCAGAGTTAAAGAGGAGCACAGAACATTTTCATTGAGTGGCCAAAAATACCTAATAAATGCTAATACTGCTCTATATCTGCCATCTGTGTAAATGAGCAATAATTTGTTGAGGTATTGACTTAAAGCTGATGAAAAATGCAAGATTTGTGTCATCTGTGGTTGATTATTTTCTTATAGAGCCCATGAAATCATTCTTTGTCATTATCTAGCTCTTACCTGCAAATGGCTGGAGCGTTTGAAGGCTTTCCCACACTGCTGACAGACGTGAGGTTTCTTCTGCGAGTGAGTGATGGCGTGTCGCTCGAGGTCGGAGAGGTAAAAGAAGACCCGTGGGCACAGCTGGCAGTACAGCACCCTGCGGGCGCCCATGCTGTTGGGTGACTCCTCCGAAGAAAGGGGATCCAGCGGGTCGAGGGGCTCGATATTACCAGAGGAGAATATGGATCCAATGGGAGGGGAGGGAGGAGCAGCAGCGTTGGAGAAATAAAGATGGTCATCCAGAGGTAAGTGTTGTGAGTGCAGGTCTGAGGAGTCATATCTGGGCTCTGAGGAAGGTGATTGGGCCTCTGAGCTGAGCTGAGCCAAGGGGTCAAAGGTTGAAGTGGCAGAGGATTCTGAAGTTGATGGCTTCTTGTTTTCATTTGAGACTTCTTCAGTAGATATGGCTTTGCTTCCTAGGTTTGACTCGGAAGAGCTGATTTGAGAGTGAAGAAGTGCATTTGTGCTGTGGATGTCGTTTTGAGGAACAGGAGAGGGCGACTGCATGGTAAGAGAGGTGAGAACTGAGCCGGGGTTGACATTATTCACCCCTGAAAGAATGACAGGAGGGTTATTGGGGCTCAGTCTGATGACAGGGTGAGACAGCGTAGTCAGAGGTGATCCTAGCTGACCAGAGGGCAAGGGCAGGGAAACCGTCGGGGCTGTGGCTGCTGTGATCTGCGACAACTGACCAGTGGTGGGGTCAAGGACGGTGATTGGAGTGGAGGTAGAGGCGGAATCTGCAGAGGAAGCAGTGGGTACAGAAGAAAGGAGTAGGAACATTGGGGCAGAAGTACCAGGGGAGGTCTGGGTGACTGACAGGGGGAGTGAGAGACTCACAGGCGCAGAAGAGAGCTGAGTGGAGGAGGAGGGGGCTGAGAGGAGGAGAATAGGAGTGTTGGTAGAAGGGTTAGTGAGGATCTGAATGGGCTGTGTGGGGAGTGATATCCCAGAGGAAGCTGACAGAACAGCACTGGACTCCTGAACAGACTGGACACTAACTTCAGGTGGGCCTGAGTTAGGGTTCGACCTTGTGAAGACTTCTTTTTTTGTCACCGTCTGATCAACAGACGGAGTTAGAGGATCTGTACCAGAGGCTGGTGAGGGGAACAGATCATCAGAAGGTGCATTTAGTGCATTATCGAACCTTTGGCTGATGCTGGGATCTGCTAATTGTGACGAGTTTGTTCCTTCTACTTCTGCTGAACTAGTCTGATCTGACTGAGGATCCTCTGACGTGGAAACATCAACTTGCGGCACTTTGAGTCCGTCTGGACTGAGAGTATACGGGATTCCCTGGTCGTCTATAAGAAGGAGGTTTTCTGTGTCACAGTCCACCGAGGTGAGGGAGCTAAACACCGAGTTAGAAAAGAAAGACGGGGACAGGAGGGAGTCTTGGAGCGCATGTGTCCCATCCATGTAAAGTACAGAGTTTTCGTCTATCCCCTCATCATCCTCTTCTACTATATCTCTGTCTCCTTCTCCCTCGTATTCATCCACCTCCATGATCAGTGAGCTCTCACAGCCCGAATCATCCAGGAAGCGTCCACACCTCCTCTCTCGATTTTCCCTTTTCTTGGGCATGCTCAGATCCAGTGGCTCCGTTTGTTCATCCATTACTAACTTTTCAAACGTCAAGCAGGACTTTAAATCCATTTCTTGTAAAATGAAAGGAACATTCTCAACTTTCCGCTCGGCCGTTTCCTCTTTAATCCTTTTCTGGGTCACTATCTTTATTGTCGTAGGGCAGGGGATGACAGGAGTCTCCAACCCAACATTTTGGATGATTTTAGTACAAAAAACAGGTTTCTCTTTCTCTGCATCAGTCTTGAGGAATGATTCTGTTTCAGCTTCCTCTGTCCTTTGATAGCCAACTTCCGGGATTTCTCTTTCATTCTTAAGAGCAGAGTTTTGGATGTTATTTCTGTTTTTTTCTTCAACAGACACAGGAACTGGTCTTCTAAAATGTGAGTGAGTGAGGTCTTTGGTGGGGCTGATGGCAGGGTTTGTGATTGGCCTCTTGCACCGTGGGGGAACAACAATTTTCAGTGTGATTGGTTGGCTGCGCACCACCGGCACTCCAGTCTTGACTCTAATTGGCTGTTTCAACCCAGCCATCTCACTTCTTGTTTCCTGAAAGGCCGGCTCACAAGTCCCGCCCACATCTGGCTTTTTCCCATTGATTGATGGAGCATCTCTCCTCCTGATGGTCACTGCTGCTGTGACAGGGCACGGCTGTAGGTTACCTGGTACAGCACTGGGTGAGGGTTTTTCCTTTGAGTCCAAAAAAATCTCTGTCACTGGCCCTGATCCCTCTGCACACTGGCTGCCATTTTGGACATCCAGGCTGCCACTGGTCAGGACTGAAGCCAGCTGAGAATCCATTTTGGGGCATACCCATTTATATATCTACAAAATGCAAAAAAAAATATGAATTAATGACTCAGAGTGGATAAACAAGATTACAAATCTCATGGTGGAATAGGTTGGTTTAGTAAATAAGCTAGACTGGGATTTGATTGTACAAAGTTAATGTCTTAAATGTGATTATTGGGGTCAGGTTTAGTTCAAAAGCTAAAAGTCACACAGTCTGTGACAGCACTGACAGTCTGAATAAGAAGCAGACTGAGCCCCCAACTCCCTGCGGCGGCATGATGAGCGACTCATTTGACCCTCTCCTGCTCTTCCTCCTCCTCATCAAACCCTCCAGAAAATTATTTTGGATACCTTGTGTGATCCAAATTCTGTCTCAGCGACTGTCTGACAAGATGGGTCGCTTCTCTCTCAAAAATGCACCGAGTCTGGCAGATGTGAGCGAAACATTTCCCCCCCTCCTGACTTCTACCGTCAACATGCAACACAAACAATAAAACGTTTCATTTCCATTCACTCTGGAATTACGTTTATATTCCGTTTGGTTCACGGAGACGAGCTTGTTCCAAATATTTTTCTGTGGATAAATCGAGGAGCAGTGCCCGTGGAGGACGCCATTACGCACAGTCCTAGGTCCGAAATCCCTGTATTTTTTATTATAGTGCGGGTGCGCTTTGACAGCTCTCGGACCTGGGACAGCGCCATCACGTCGATAGCCGGAGTATAGAAGCGTGGATATTTACAGACATTTTCGGTGTGGAGCAGATCCTTTCCTTTCCTGAGCTTCCTCGGACCTACAGCCAGCCATTTTAGAGCCGAGGGTTCGAGACAGCGCGAGCGCAGCCCGGCAGCTTTTAGGACAAACTTTCCCCGCGCGCTGTCATTTCTTCCCGCCGTGCTGTCACAGCCGGCGGAGCACGCGCCGGACTCCCTTTCGATACATTTAAAACTGTATTTTGAACTATACTCCACCCATACTCTCGCGGCAAAGGGACTGGCTTACCCGTGCTGTGGATATTTCCGGAGGACCAAATATGACTGTGCAGTGTAAAGGGTGATGCTGCGAATGCCGAGGGAGGGAGGGGTCAAGGGGAGTTGCTATGGTGTCGCAGCCTACCGGGTCCGACCAGTAGCCATTTCAGCCTATGAGTACGATTGAACCTGCAGCCTGCGAAGAAAGGCTCCCAGTGTGCCTGGCAGTCAAAGAGCAGGGAGACAGAGCAAGACAGACGCTGAAAGCAGAGAGAAATGTGGACCAGAACTCACATACTTGGACCAGAAGTGTGCCACGGACTGTTTTCACATAACTTTATTTCAAATCAATAACACTTACAAGCCTCAAGACTTGATGCGTCATGCTCAACAGAGGAAAGACAGGTCACACAGTGAGATATCACAGAGTCTTTATGAGTAAGGCTACGTTAAGGTATCATCACAGGCATAACTGATGTAATAATGCTTTATATATACATCATAATGGAAGCCTATGGGTTGCAGCTACAGTATGCATGAGCTCAAGCTTGAGGAAAATCTAAGTAATACTTTTTCAGAGTATAATTACGCCTCAAGTGTAATGGTGATGCAGGATGCATGCAGAGAAAGGTGACGGAGGCCATGAAACCCACAATTCAAGACAGACAGCTTAACCCGCTGATCCAGAAGAGAAGTGAGTAATATTTCAGTGTCTAACAGATCATAATCATAGTACTGATCACAGAAGCACAGCTAAAGGGTGAAAACTGCCTGCCCTAGATGATGGGTGCTGGTGTGAGTCAGGTGAAGGTGCTCTTATTGTGACAGTGTCATGAGGGTTGGCAGGGTTGAGGTCAGACATGCAGGTCATCACTCCACATCGCCGGGCTCGCACGCTTCAATCTCTGAGACCAGCCGGTGGGGGAAGAGTTTGTACTGCAGCCATGTGGGCTCTGAAAGACAAGATCAACCACCAGTAATGAATCAATCCAACCTCACACATCTCTCATGGGTGACCATGAATGCAGGTAAGAAAAGGTGGTGCAGGTTTACCAAGGTAGCAGGCTGGTGGCTGCAGCTCTCCATCAAAGCAGGTCTTGGTTGCAGTGAAGCTGCACTGCTTGCGAGGATGTTTGCAATAGAACGTGACGTCTTCCCCATGAGAAACCATGGCGTCTGTAACATCAAACGGCCAGCGCTTCACTCCACCAATCACAACACGGCTCCTCTCAGCAGGGATCAGACAGCGAGCTGGGGGAGACAATCAACAAGGTATGACTGTATAAAATCTGCATCATTAACTCACTGCTGATGCATTTATTTATGTCTGACTCTGTAAATTAATGCAAACCAGTTTATCTGCATACAAAGAAAGTTTCCTTCCATAAGAATCTGATGAAAGCTAAGTTATTTTTATGATAACTATCTTTAGTAAAACTTTGCCTTTGTGTTCAGCTTGCATCTAGTGTAACCATTTACACATTTTTGTACCTCTGCAGTGTGGGGGCGCTGCACTCCAGCTGCCATTGGGCAGACAGGTGACCTTCTGGGGTCCATCCAACAGGAAGTTCCTCCTGCAGAGGTAGTGGATGTCAAAGCCCACTTCATACTCAGTCTTCTGGACGGCCACCACATAACCCTGCTCCACTTCACGAGGTGGCTGGCAGTAAACCTCTAAAAGAGCGAGACAGCAGAAAGTCAGTGTGTAGTGTTCAGGGGATTTATCTAATCTAAGAAGAAAGCTACCTAAAAAGCCTGACCCTCTGTGTTTCTGTTTTTTCTTTATCTTAACTTGTATTGGTTTTGCTTTAACAAAAGCCAGGGTGGGTCATAGTCCTGTTAGCATGGTGCAGAAAGCATCCTTTAAGACAGTCCTGTTCAACCAGCGACCAAGGTCCAAAAATCAGCTCTTAAACAACCTTTGAATTATTTACCAAGAAAATGTCTTTTGTTTAAGCTTAAGATCAACATGCTGTTTAAGCAGATGGACTTTAAGAGGGCTGAACTTTAGAAAGAAAAGTGTTATATACAACATTTAACACTGTTGAGATGTAAACACCACCCCATTCTAATGTAGGAAGAAACCTCCATATGTTAACTTAAACTTACACAACAAAAAAAGGAAAGATTTTTTTTTCTTTTTTTCCCCAAAATGTTCCCTGTTCAGAACTAAGATCACAGATCTGCTGCCAGACTGTGCAATACCAGGTTTGTCCACAAGATGACAGAAATGCACTGTGGAACAGAGCGGTAGGTCTTACTCGGGGACTTCAGCTGGAAGGATTTTATGTGCTTATCTTCCTCCTTTTTTGATTCAGTCTTTTATGCATATTGGCACAAGTACACAACACATAAAAGTACATGCCTATAAAACAGTCATGCGGTCTATTAGTCCATTCAGCCTCACATCAGGAACCATTCATTTCCTCCTGCTAACCCAGAAAGAGTGGCGGTTAAGAGGAAGACAAATGCCCCCCTCAGTCAGTCAGTCAGTCAGTCAGTCACTCACACATGTAGCCAGAGCACACTGACCTTTACAGATGGGATGGGGGTACTGCCAGGTCTGATTATCCTGGCAGAAATTTTCACTGCTCCCCACTATATCCGCCCTGCAGAGGAGAAAGAGGCAAGTGATGGAGGCAGGTGGTGGTGTGACATTTACATTATTGACACCTAATGGGCCTCATCTAAATAAAAGTGCTGAAAAAAAGGTGTAAATGGTTCCTTTTCCCACTCTGTCTCTCAGAGAGTCTACATTTTGTGTGTGCACAGTTTTGGCTGGCACATCCACTTGGGCTCATCCTTTCCTGTGGATGAGTCAGTGTGTAGAAGGGAGTCAACACAAGATTAGACTGTAATGACCTAGTTAGCTCAATAGAGGAATCGTCAGCTGGAAGATCAAAATGAATTCCCGGCCATTCGTCGCTCATCTTCCGTCCTTCCCCAACACCTCTCCTTATGATCAAGCCCTCCCTCCTCCCCCCTCCCTCTTCTTCTTCACACTCCATCCCCGTCTTCTCACTTCCTCCATTTCTACCTTATCATCATTACAGGTTTCTCACATTTTCAGCCCACGCACACACAACCTTAGTCTCCCATTTTCTCCCCCTCTTTCTCACCCAGACAGGCAGCTGTAGCGGATGGATGTTCCGACTGTGGCGTTGCCGTGGATGCTGAAGGTGTTGGTGACTTCCTCAGGCAGAGGGCAGCTTTGGGAAGTGGTGGGTTGGAGTGACGCTGAAAGTTAAGAAAACAGAAGGTTAAAGACTTTATTGTCAGGCACTAAATCCAAGCAAAAGTGTCAGTACAATAATGTAGCAATATTCGCTGACAATGAAAGATCTTACATGAAACGGAAAAAAAAACAAACCAGCAGTTAAAGGAGACTTCAGTTGCTTTTATTACAATCCTACAGCAGAGGAGACAGTTTATATCGTTGTAATTTGCCTGAGCACATTTAAATTCTGTACTGATCTACATGTATGAAACAAAGCCTTTAGAATACATAATTTAGAGCTTCAAATGAACTCCTTTCAGTACATATATCATAAGGTTGATCAATATCTGTCATACACAGGCCACACAGGGACTTATTTACACTTGAATCTGCTGACAACTAAAACCTTGTGCCTCAAAAACCATTAACTAAATAATCACAAATTGCCTCTATGTGCTAAATAAAAGGACTCAAAGTAAGGTTACTAAAGGTCTTTTGTGTGCTTTTAAAAAAATAAAAAGTCATGTTTCATTTATGCCCAAGAGGAAATTAAATTTTTACACTCTGTTCCTGGATATGCGGCACACATGGGCTGAAACACACAAACATGCGAAAACAGGATTCTGAGGATTTTACGGACATGCAATAAGAGACAGAGTGAAGAGGCTGCACACAAATGAGACCCCAGAGCAGTTAGGGGTCCAGTGCCTCTCCAGAAACCAGTCCCAATCACCAGACTACAGTTGGGACACAATCAGACTTCAACAGGTGAACCTCAGGTTCTAAAGCCAAATCCTGAAGTTTTGCAAAGGGAATTAAAACCCAGTTTTAATACATTTAAATACATCTTTACTTGATTTTTACCAAAGGAGATGTTTGTAACACTTTATATGAACCCACCTTTTATCATGCATTATAAGCACATTTGCAAAGCCTGATAGATTCATCAATAAGGCTTTATGACAACCCTTATAAGTGATAATAAGCATTCATAACAGCTTATAGATATGTCACTTTACCTACAGCCACAAAGTACTTCTTATAAATGTGATATAAGAACATATAACTGTAAATAACCTCATACCTCATGTTTTCTTTTGCATTGAATTATTTTTCATGATAAACCATACCTTCATAGGACATATTGCCTACTGCTTATGACACTTAAAATACATTTATATAAGCAGTTTTAAATACTTATAACCACTTCAAAGGGTTGCCACAAAGCTTTACAGATGCATTTTTAAGGCTTTGTTAATGTGCTTGTGACTGGGTTCATATAAAGTGTCATGGAGATTCATTTAAAAGGTCAGATGTGCAGTCTAATTACATCTCATTGAGAAAAAAAATGAATTCTTTATTAGCTACTGTCCAGCTGTGTCAGTGATTTGTTTAGTATGTGAATCTCTTTAGGGAGAAATAAAACAGCAGAGGAGTAAACACCACCCCAAAATATGTTCACAATAACCTGCACAAAAACAAGAGATTGTTTAAGTCTGTTATAGAGATATTTGTGGCTATAATGTTTTAGATAACTCCATTAACAAACAAAGAACAGCAAGTAAAGTGGGAAGATGAAACAAGTGCTGCAGGAGAGAAAAAGAGATGAGTAGGAAAGGGGACATCCATTATGCTACCTCGTTTGACTTGTATTTACCAAGGTTTTCAAGGTTTGTGTTTAGTTTGTGACCCACAGAGGCGTTTCACCTGATGACTTGTTCTATTTAAGATGAAATAGCCCTTCTTAGGTAAGAAATCAAAGTTCGATGAGTAGGTGAAACACTTCTCCAAGCTCACAGCTATATCTGTGGTTGTATAACACCTTGCAGCGCTCGTTCCTGGACATTTGAGTACCTCACGCTCATGGAAATATAAATATCAAGAGTGGTGCTTGGAGGGAGGCTGTAGCGACCTGAGCTCCATCAAGCGCAAGGTTTTGGAGCTGTGCGCTGCTTTGAAAGGCAGAGACAGCTCTCGCCTGAGGGCTGTCTTAGGTATCTGAGGGTGAGAAACGTTAATATAAGAATGTAAAGGCACCTATGGGAGAGGAAGAGTTACGAGTCTGTTTGGCTGCAGATGAGAGCCCAGAGCCCAGTTTCTGTTTTCATATATTGCCCTTCTTCTGCCTTGTACTGCTGCCACCCACACAGGCTGCAGCAGCAAACTGCTCTTAAACCGGTAGAGAAAAATTCATCTTTTCAAAGCAAAAATGTTTTTTGAAGGAACCACAGCCCTGAATATATTAAATCTTATTAAGATCAAGGTTGAAAAAAGGCTGTGGTTTTAATAGAGTATGTTCTTTTTTTCATGAGCAGATGCATGCTCACAAATCTTGATAATCTGCATAGCCCTGAGTTGCATGCATGTCCTTGGCTCCCATTGTAAATAGAGAGACCTTATCAGAGGTCTCGGATAGAAGAGGATGAGAGAAGAAAAAGATGAGAGGAAGAGAGGATGAGAGAGGAGAGCAGGGAACAGAAAGGCCTGCAGCAGCATGAGCAAAAGAGAGCTCTCTGACTCCTCTGACTGGGATCTGTCGCCCACACACACACACACACACACACACAAACACACACACACATACACACAAACTGTAACACATCTGCAAGCCTCCCCCTACACATCTAATGTATACAGAGAAAACTCTACCTCTCTGATAGACACACACACATGCACTCACACTGTGCGCACACATCTCCATGTGCCACTTTGACAGTGATCTGCCGCCCACTGCCTCTCAACAGGCATGAGGCAGCTCGACTCACACTCTAACACACATGCAAAAGGATGCACAATACGAGCACTCTCACACGTTTAAAACCCACCTACCTTCTGCCCGTCTCACAGCAGGAGGAAACTCTACTTTAGAGCCCAGAACCGTATCCTTGTTTCACATCTAAGAAAAGATTAAAAAAAAAAAAACTCTCTCTGGCTGACACCAGGACCCAGCAGGGTTTGAGGATTCCTAAGAAAGCATGTTTTCTGTAGCTGCAGGTGTGTGATTAACGCAGCAGGGGTCGACCTTTAAAGCTGACTTTGTGTGGCTTTTTTGTCAGAGCTGTTGAGTTGTCACAAACAATGAGCAGAGGCATATTTCCAAGTGTGGTATGATGATGGGATGTGTGAAGATATTTTGGAGTATTGATAGCTTTGCTTCAAGCACAGCTGTGCAGAGGAAGTTATGCAGATGCAGCAGCATGATAAATTTCATCTTTTATGAGCCACTTTCCAGATCCATCTTGTCTTTGTTCCATGTTTAGACTACAGAGAGTACAAAGATTTTATTGCATGAGTATCGACGGCTGTAAAGTTTTAGTATTCTGTCGCAGTGCTGAGTGCAACTGCTCGTTCATGTCTTGACATCAAACCCGACATGAATTAAGTTTAAAAAAATAGCAGGGAATCTTGATGCTTCGGTGTTATTTCTAGATTGCCACAATGTTCACCCTTAAATCATCCTGAGTCAATTTATTTTTCATAGTTATGCTTTAAATTTCATTTTGTCTGTTCTTCAAAATATCATGCAATATTGTCTACAATGAGACTTCATAATGCAAACCACTAACAATAGCAAAATACTGACTGTTCTCATACTCTGTGCATGTTTAGATTAGTCAGGAAAAGATTGTTTTTCTGTGGCACTAGCTCAAAGATGTTTCAGCATGATTTTATTCACACTCTCCTCTTTTAAACTCATCAACAGTTCAACAATGAAATCTTACAGCAGCCAGTAAGAACAGAAGTGAAGCTCTGGTTGCTATGGTGATATGAGAAGCCCCAGTTGTGCAATATCTCAGTGAACACAATCACAGAGGGGCTTCATTGCTGAAAATTGTTCCCTCTCTCTGTCTCTGTCTCTGTCTCTCTCTTGTTTAACATGTCATAATGTTTCACAATCAAGTCAACATTTGTAGCAGATCTTTGACCTCAAAGTAAACTGTTCACATGTTGTTTGGCTGGTGCAGTCAGTAAATGAGGCACATTCAATCTGAAAAAAAAGTGGCATGTTCATTTCATAACAGATAACATTTGATGGTGGCACTTAAACGTACCTGTGCAGACAGGAACATCCCCGCTCCACTGCCGGTCACCTTGGCAACGTCTCATAGCTACATCAAGGCCATTAGGAAGCGTGAACCCTGGCTTGCAGCGTACTTCGAGCAGGGCATCGAAGGAGCTTGTGGGATGGAGGAGACTAGCTTCTGAGTTGTCACTAGGGGGCAGAGGCCAGGGACAAGTCCGACCTGAGGGTAAAAGCATGACAGAGGGCGAGAGAGAGGGAACAAATCCAATTTAAGAGTGTACTAGATTTTTTCTTATGCAAGACAAACAAAACAATTAACCCAAACTGAACACTTTTAAAATGGCACTAATGAGGTTGTATAACCAGACTGGATCCTGGCAGTGCCCTATTTAACAATGCATAATAAAAAGCTTGTGTTCTGCTCTCAGAGAGGGTGGATTTTCAGCCCAGATGTTGAGCAGGAACAAGGATTTTATGTTATTTTCCGGAGTAAAATACACACAGTTGTATGATGGCACAGCTGCTACACACACAAACACTTCTAATGACTGAGCACGTACTGAGGGCACGCATGCACACAAATAGTTACCTGGAGCCACACAGCTGAGCCCACACTGGCCATCACAAAGGCACTGTCGCTTGTTCCCGCAGTCTTTATCAGTCTTGCATGGCCGAGGACACGACTTCCTCCTCTCATCTACCAGGAGTCTTGGAGCACACGACCCTGTGTCGGCACCTAACCCCACAAACACAGACACACAATCACACCATCACTGTAATTGTCCTTTTGTTTGCTTGAACTCCATTCACAACCCCTCGTAAAAGTAGCCTTTTAGGGCCGTAATTGAGATTTTGTTTGTAAGTTCTGCTTTGTTTTCTGTTTGGAGGGAAGTAAAGTCGGTGTGGGTGGCCGGGTAAACATTTGCCACCAAGGTTGCCAGATGACTAATTCATAGATGGCAGGATTGATTACTTGTTGCCTTTCATCTGTCATTCTGTTTTTATGGAAAAGTGAGACTTGTTGACTTTTTTTGGTGACTAGTTTGATGTCTCGGTGGAGTAGACAGGACCAGTCTTAAGGAGTATAATCCACTACCCAGTGCACACCTCCTCCTTTCCCTTCTTCCTCTACAAGTAATCCATCACAAATGAAGCAATAAAAAAACCTGAATCCTTCACTTCATTGCACACCAGCAGCGACACACCCTCCATGTTCAGAACATTTGAGGGGGAGAGCAGGGGGGAGGAAGAGGGGGCGTCGGACAGGGTTCCCCATTTTTCATTTCTCAGAATGAAAACATGTGTGCTACTATATCCACTCTGCCCACAGCACATGTGACCAAAAACACACATGTTCTAGGCTAATGCACACATGATCATGCCAGGAGAGCACAGAGACATGGTGTACAAAGCATACATGTATCAGCTAAGATGATCAAAGTCTATATAAATATTGCATACAAGACAGGTATCATGGCAGAGTTGGACTCAGTCAGAAGTTTAGAGGAGATCACAGTAAACACATTCACAGAAATATACAGAGCGAGTATTGTTGGCATGTAAAAACAAATCCAACACATTAGAGAAATTTGCAATCCCTTTATGGATAACAAATTTAAAAACAGTTGAACACCGATGATTCTTCTTTCTTTTTCTTTTTTTTTAACTCAGTCTGTTGTACTCAACAATCATGCAAATTCATGCATATAAGCCCAGCATTAATTATACAGATTCAGCCGTACTACAGCAAAGTTGCAAAGTTCCGAGCCTTCAACAACACATGCAGAGTAAAGTCCAGGTAAATACTTCCTCTTTCTACATGCAGCCTCACTTAATAATTATAATCTAGCTGTGTCTGTCATGTAATCAGGGCTCAGTGTTCCCTTAGGTGTGTGTATGTGTGTGTGTGCGTGTGAGATGAGCGCAGTCAGGGGTCTTACGTGGAGTCTGCAGGGATACCGTTCCAGCCAGAGCCCACAGGGACAGCAGCAGCAGTGCACAGTCCATCCTTACAGCCGGGGCCTCAGACAATATGAGGGAGGCGCGCACACACAGCACCTTTAAAGAAGAGGGGAACAAAGGGTGGTAGGAGGGGGAGTCGGGGTGTGAAGGGGGAGAGATAGGGAGAGAGGGGGAGAGGGAGAGGGCACAGCTCTGGAGCACACATCTGGTTTGCGTTGAGGAGGGGAGAATTGGTTGAAAAGAAAAAAAAGCCCACACTGAGGGACCTTTCACCCATTTTTGTTGAGACAGCAGATAAAGGGGATGGCACGGCTGTTGTTTCCACACAAAGTAAACAAACAGGAGTAAACAGATGGGAACAGAGGAAATCTGCAGACGTCACCTGAGAGGGAACATTTGTTCTTCTCCACATTCAACCATGCAGCCGTGTGAGGCTTCTATCTTTGATAAATCATTTGAAGCCAGTATTAGTGCTTTTATTTTGAAATTATCCCCACTTATAAACTTAATGTTTTACCTCAGCCAAATAAATACCATTTGTCTGCACTTTGTCCTTGTAAATAAAGGTCGCATTAAATGAGGAAATAAGAAAATACTCTAGAAACATTGCCTCTGTTGAGTAAGAATGTATTTTTGAATGGCTTTTCCTATTAAAGAAAGTAGGGCAGAAAGTATTGAGTGTTTTAAATCAAGCAGTCTTACGGAATTTCACTGCATATTAGAATTTGGTTGTCATGTTTAAGTAAATAAAGAAGTTAGAAATCCAGGCTCATGTTGACTATTTTCCCTGGGTTATATTAAAAGATGCAAGCACATAAAGCTCAAGAGAAGTGTTTAGAGTCATTAAATGTGAGAAAACAGCTGATAAAAGAGATGGAGTCATGAATGAGAACAATCTTTTATTGGTGTTTTTGGAAAAATCTCGACTACATCCAAATAACCAGCATTGTGTGGGCTGGGCACCAAGGACACCACTGATGCAGCAGGGCAGTTGTAGTTCAATTAGAGTCACTAGAAGATTAACCAACCACATCTGTGAGGATATTAGAGACTTAATCCTGATGGAGGAGCAAACAATCACTGATTGAGGTGATAAAGGCGGAAATAAACCAACATGGAGCAAATATTGATAGTGTGCATAGTCCGTACACCGCTGGGAACAGAGGAGATCATCAAGAAAGGAAAGTCTGCATGGACATTATGTTCTGAGTTTTGAGCCATGCTTGTGAATCCGTGGTGAGAAAAACCAAAGTGGCAGCAGGATCCTTTGCAGAAGTGAGTAATGTCTGGAGGTGTGAGACAGGATGCAAATTGCAAACAGAGAGGGTGGTTTCCATGTGAATAGTCTTTCTGAGGAACACTGAAGATCAAAGATGTTTCAAGGTGCAACAGATCATGTTCATCCAAAGAAAGAAAATCATTCAATAATATAGAACAGCAACAACAAGAAGAGGGATAATTATTATAATCATAACAATAATAATAGCAGTAATGGTCATCGGGGGGATTAAAGTCACACGCTATTACTAGTCATCCCTCCCCAAGGAACATAACATAGTGTACCTGTGTAGGTGTTGTGGGTACACAGAGAAGTTTAAAGATACAGTTTAAAGTAAAAACAGAAGTAAACAGTAAAGGAGCAGTACTGAATAAAAGCACTAAATAGTAACAAGATTTGTGGATCAACAATAGGAAATTTTGGCTTTTATTTGTCCCAGAAATCTGAGAAATTAACACCATTCCACTCAATGGTTTCTCAACACATCTCCTGGAATACATCAAACACACAAAATAGCATAGGCTTTTCCAATATACACATTTCTCCCTCTGTAATAATGCTGATTAAAGTGTGTTCATTAAGTACAGTAAAGTAACGAGTGCTTTGAGCTGGGAAGATTGATTACTATTCCAGAATACAACACTGAGATTTAACTACTCTATGCACCGCAGAGGTACAAGAGAGACACAAGGACAAAATGTAAGAGGAAGAGTTTGCACATAGCTGCAAGGAGATTGGCTGCAAGTGCGAGCAGACAGAAATAGAAACAGAGAAAGAGAAATATCCCAACGATTCAAAGAGAAGATGAAGAGGAGCAGAGTTACCTGGGGGGCATCACAACAGCAGGTTTTCACCCGCTTAGGTAAGATACCAAACACCAGAGCCGATTAAAGCACTCAACTGGGATAAAAAAGGGAAGTCAACAATACGAGTATGGACTGAGGAAGAGTGCAAAGTCAAGCTCAAAGTACAAAAACTAATATTGTTTGGGAGGTCAATCAAAAGGGTGAAGTTCTTTTAATAAAGAACGCACAAGACGAGTGTTGAAGTTAGCGCTGGTCTGTTTACACGGTGTCTCATCTTGACTCTCAATTCATCTCTCACCTAACATGTCCATTCCCAGTGACAGAAACATAACAGGAAAAGAATTAAGTGCTTGAGTAAAATCCACAAAAATGTTGAACTATACGATTATAAGATCATTTTTGCTCTCTATATTACAATTATTACATGTGTCCTCGCCCCCGCTGCTGCATCCTGACTAAAATAATCATGTCAAAAAAATACCCATCGATGGCTGACACCTGTTAAACATCTCCAGACTCACCTAGAATAAGAAAAGATTTACCCTAGCTTTCCTCTATGTCCCCTGTCATGTAGAAAATATACAAAATTATTCTCCAAATTTGCTCTCTCGCTAATTTTTCTGAAGTATTATAAAAATATACAATTCTCCAATAACAAAACTCTTAAAAGTCACGTCTCTCATCTGTTAAATTATTCTCTCCATCTTTACTTTTAAGAGCTGACACCTCAACAAAACAAGACACCTGAGCTTCAAAACACAGACCTTCTCCTTGTCTTATACATTCATCATCAGAATCATCAGCTTCTTCTTCCTCCTCATCATCATCATTTCTTCACCCAGTTCTGTCCATCATGCCATTTCCAATAATTCAAAGTCTTTATTAGATCCAGCTTAAATTCCTCCTCTTCCTGATTTTTGCTTCAGAACCGTTATCACTGGTCGGCAAGGCGGTTCTCATATTTGCTAAGGATGTTGCGACAGCGACCGAGTTCCTTCCGGATCTCAGCAACTTCCTGCCGTAGGGCGGCGTTCTCCCTCTCCAGGTAGGCAGCGCGCACCGAGATTTGGTTCTCTTTTAGACGGCGAGCATCTCGGGAACGCTTTGCTGCCTCGTTGTTTTTGTACCTTCTGGTCCAGTACTTCTCATCCTGAGAGAGGACAGACAGAAACAGAACACACGGTTTATTTCTGCCCATTTGATCCTTTTGATGTTATTTATCACCGAGCAGAAGCTCTTCAATAAAATAATCAATGAATGGTCAGACGTGTTTCTTTAGAAGTGTGTAGTGTTCTTGTATCCTGTTACTGATGTGTAAATGTGGGTGTTTGGCCATGAATAAGTGTGGGACATGTTACTTCATCCTTAGAGTTTGGTCTGGACTGTGCAAGTCCCTGAGAGGGGATAAACTATGCTTAAATCCTCCATTTCCCACACCCCACTGCTGCAGGAATAACACTCAGCTTTAAATACTCCGTAATAGCTACTGTGGGACATGTTCTACCCTTTCAACAACAGAACAGATCCTCAACTATCACTGGCCTCTCCTGTAGATACACTGTTACAGATAAACTTACACCTAACTCACATTCTGGTGCTGTTTGAAAACTATTACATGCATAAATCATGTAAAATATACAAACATTATAAAACTGAACCAATGTATGACTTCAACATGTGTTTTTTTCCCTCCACTTTAGTCCTACTGAGCGGATAGAGGGAAAAATAAACCTCTGGTTCCAGCTCTCCCAATGTGGAGATTTTCTTTGCTCTTGGCTACAGAAATGAATGACGTTGTTTGTTCTCTAATCTATTTTCAAGTCTTTTCTCACATATTTAACAAATTAATTTCTTAAAAGAAAACTATGATCAACATTTTTGTCAAAAATAATAAGTAATATTAGCCTTCAGTTGCTCCTGTTGTGTTTAAAATACCTCTCAAATCAACCACGCCTACTCAGAGTATTCTGCACTTTGGAGAGCCCTTACCTTCATGTTATCTGGCACCAGGATCTTGCGAGCCTTCTTGATCATTGGCTGTGGCTTGAGCTCCTCTTCGCTGAACGAATGCCTCCTGGGGTCAAAGTTCTGCTGGCTTGAGGAGCTGGACATGTCAGCGGCGTCCATGTCAAACATTCCAACTCCATCAGGCCCGCTGTCTGTGGGCGTCAGAAGAGGTGGACATGAGGACGAAGAGGAGGAGCAGGGTGACTCACAGGAGTCATTCATACTCGTCTGACTCCCTGAAATCAAAACAGGGGAGAAAACTGATTAATACTCTTTACATATAGCCATTTTTTTCAACATTAAAGAGGCTGATCACAGCAGTCAAGTCAAAAAACAATTGCAAAACATGAAGTTGTACATCCCCACAGCCACCAGGTGGAAGCAGAGAGCTATTTTCTTAGTGGCGTAAACAACAAACAACATTCTTCAGCTCTTTACAGACTCAGCACTGAGAATACTGAGAACATTTTTCAATCAGCTTTCATGGACACTAAAACTAAAAGGCTTTGAGAAACAACTAAATAAGAGTATTATGTGAATAGACTCTGCAAAACAAGTGATTACATAATACAGACCATTTTACTCTACAGATCGACGGACAAAATGGAGCTGCAGGCTTGTATAGTAAGAAATACTTGTCTTTGCAAAGCTCCACATAAAAACTATTAATGTTCTGTACATAATTAAAAGTTTTTATTAAAAATAAAAAAAAACCTTGTCAACATATTGATCATGAATCTCTCATTCTGGGCTCTACTGCTAGAATAAAGGACAGACAAACTTCTAGGGGTCCTGGACTCAATGTAAAGCACATATATAACCAAATGTAATGTATTTAGTCATCAGCCTGTATTATAAACTAAAATCATTTACTAAATTAGACCAAAACCAACATCTAGAACTCAAATTCTGAAGGGGAGTTCTAAAAGTGGAAATGTTATATAACTCTCTACTCCTCCCCTTGAAACCAGTTTCTTTAAGTGGGGCCAGTATGGGGCTATACCTCACCCACCCCCTTTAAGGCCCAGTGCACCAAACTCAATTGACTGCTGCTACATTTTCGAAGTATCACAACAGCTCAGAACAGGAAAATTATCATTAAATCAATAGCACCTAAAAGGGACATGTGTATGGGAGGACTTTCTACTTTGACTGCACAACAGTTTGCTGAGTGTGAGTTTATGCTTAACAGGGGTGAATCTAAAAGAAACTTAAAAAGACTCCATAAGGTGGGGGTAACTATCCAGAAAAACTGCATCCCTCAAATTCAGCACAAAGCTGCATGTACACAGCCCCCAACAAAAGCGCACAGGACTACTAAGTGTAAACACTACAAGTAAAAAAAAAATTATTAACACCATTTGTTTGCATGGCCAAAACAAACCCACACGTGGTCAATTTACAGCAGGGAAATATGTAAGAGGTCTCAGGACAACTTAAATAAACTAGCCCTTCAGTCTGTGGCATGTGCTGCCAGCTGTTCAACATGTTGTCTGGGGATCTGAAATATATGAGCAGCTATCACATGAGTAATGGGTGTATAAGGTGCACCCTAAGGTGCAAAGTGTTCCCTCATGATGTTCCCACGTTCCAACTCCTTCAGCTTCAACTTCTCCATAAGACAGCAAAATGAACCAGAGTGCCGTCAAAGACACCTGAGCATGTCCCACGACACACAAGCAGCATTTATGAGCAGCACTAAATTTTAGCAGGGGGAGGCCGGAAAACACAGCACTCTTCTGTCTTAAAAAAAACTGGAGAGCTGCTCAGCTAAAGCCAAACAGCAAGAAATATTCAGCACAACCACCAGGTGTGGTGTGGTGTCTGGCAGAAAACCTTCAAATGCCCAGCCCTCCTGTGGTGCATCCCTAGTTTTCAGAACATTGACCACGTGTAAACACTGTGAGAGAACAGGAGGCTTTCACTCAGCATATAATGTTTCAATATGTGACTAAACACATTGGAGGACTTGTACTACTGCATTCCATGAAGGCCTGAATTTGTAGTACAAATAAACCGTGACTCGGCCTCTGTTTAGGTACCTAATATAGCCATTTGTTGTCAGGTGTTGTTCAATTCATTATTCATGAAGCAGCTGTTGGTTGGATACCTCTTTGATACTGCTGATTAAGACAAAGCACCTCTCAGAAGTGTTGGTTAGAATGATTAACCCAACTTTAGCATAATCTAAATTATATAATAAGACATAAGACTTTTATTTCAAAGAAAATTATGTTTCATCGAATTATTTGTAATAAAAATCACAGTTTTAAAAAAATACATATTTATGGCTTTCATTTCATTTATGAGATTTTATTCACATGGATGTTTCCCTTTAAGATCAGGAGTGAAAATCTTGTGTTAATCTTCCACTCAGTATTATTTCTCTTGTGGATACTAGTGGACCACATGCCATTCATTGTTAATGAAATGCTTCATTTAAAGTCTGGCATCTCAGGGAAACTCTTCCTGTTGCTCTGTCTGTCCCTCCCCCTGTGGGCTCCTCCTCCGTGTCTGCTGGCCCTGCCTCTAGTTCTCTCACTCCAGTACTCTCAGCCTCGGCACGTGTACTGACGCGTACACATGGCTGTGGCGTGTGAAGTGGGGAGAGATTTAAAGACACGCAACCGCAAACACTCCACACACTTCTCCCTCTCTCTCCCTCGCTTAGTAATGTTTTGACCCTGCTGCACATTAATAATTGGCTGGGACTGAATGCTGATTGTGTTCTACTCTGCAGTACACACATCACATGCCAAAATCAACCAAATCCTCCCTGTCATTGCTACGAGGTTGACTCATCAAAAAGCTCAGGACTTCTTTTCTTCGACTACACCTCTTTCTCCGAAATCCTTCACCTTTCTTTGACATTTTTCTCCACATCTCACTATCTCCCTTGAGCGGCTGTAACCCTGCACTTTGCTTCAAATGAAAAGTACACATTTGTCATTGTTCAGCAGCCAATCCTTATTTGTGCTCTCTCTTTGAAGTTGACTTTAAAATAAAAGGCCATGTGACTCCTCCTGCTGCTTTCAGTTTACCCCTGTGGGACTTAAAAATGCTTGGTCACCATGGTATTCTCTATAAACTCAAATGACAGTAAAAAGTGCTGAATCACAAGCCGGGGGAAACGTTATTAAGCACAACAAATAACCTTCATTGCATCACAACCACAACTGTATTGTAGGGGTTGAACTGGTCTCATATCAGTGGCTGGGGACAATGTGTCTCCCTCAGCTTGTCAACTCTGCAAAGTTTGCAGAACCCTCTTTCTTGATACTGCGGTGTTGAGCTGATATAGACAAACCTTGGAGAATGAACTGACCTTGTTCGTTTTTACCCTCTGGTACATAGTCTGTGTATTTATTTAAGAACCAATGCTTTGTGTCAGTGGTTGTAACTGACACTGTATATTCTAGTCTGTTTACAAATGAATTGTTTGATGTTTAATTTGTCTTATGTCAATTAGCACCATTACAAGACTGCTAAACACATGCAGTACTCATGTCCATGACAATTTTCCTACTGTGATACTCATGGCATTGTCCTGCATTGTTGTTAAGTCTCTGTCATATTGACTTGTATTATATCAAAGTGTGTCCATCTGTGTCCCTTCCTTTAATATTGTAGAGTATTCATAATATTATGCTGACTCTAAGATATGGTATTCTATCATATTGTTTTTTTAGTGTTGTTTGGTATCTTAGCCAACTCACCATGAAGACAGTCAGATCCCCCTCCAAGGCTCTGAGGCTGAGCTACCTCCAGGCCAAGGAGTGATGGTGAAGAAGAGGAAGAGGGCGATGAAGACGATGAGCCAGGTGGGGATGAAGGTGGTAGGCACTGGGAGCTCTGGTTGGGTACAGCTGACTGGGAGCTCTGTGAGGGGATTTGGGCTGAACTGGAGCTGTTATTATTATGCATGCTGCCCATTCCATTTTCGGTCAGAAACTCCTCCAAGTCCATGTACTGAAGCTGGAAGAGGCCCCCGTCTGCAGGCAGGGTGCGATCCCATAAGAGAGGCCCCAAGAACTGGTTGAAATTTCCTCCTCCATTTCCTCCTCCACAGCCAGTACTACTGTTACTGCTGCCAATCCCACCACCATTCCTCATGGAGCAGACTCCCAGTGAGTCCTCATCAAGGTCCAATCTGTCTTTGTCTGCCAGAGACAGAAGAGTGCAATCAGTATTGGTGCAGAATGCAGTCAATGAATAACAGTACTGAATCTAGGCACACCAGGATGTCCTATCACCTTTGAATGGTTGTTAGCATCAACTCTGAATATTTGTCTAAAACAAATGGTTTGGTACTGTTTTGTTTGGTGTATAAACAAAATGCAATCAACAAATGTAATTATGTGTCTGCAGAGCACAAAAACATGAGCACATACAAATGGAACAGATGGTAACTGAACTGCAGCATGAAGAGGCAAAACCTATTTGTTTTCATAACACATGCAAAGATTCTTAGGTGAATCTCACAATGGCTGTAGGCATGGTTCAGCATAGTAGGCACCAACAACGAACGCCTGCTTAGCATTTCAGCTAAACCAAAACCCGTTAGCAGTCATTGTAATCCGGTTCCTAATTTGTGGTCACAGCAGGAATTATAATCCAGGTGAATACTCAGTCAGGTCACATGAGAGCCATCATGATCATGTGTGATGGAGCATTGACTTAAACGTGATATTTTGTGCCATTTAATATGAAAAATATAATGTTTGTTGCATTATAATGTTACTCATTTGTATCAGAATAACAGCAGCAGTGGTTGGAACAGACTGGTATGATTTATTCATGGCTTGCCTTTGCACATATTGGGGATGGACAGTTTCAAGAACAAAAAACAACACTGTGACATGGTTGAAGTCATATCAAGGGAGCAATTCCCACCTTTTGCATCCAATGGGCTTTTTAGACGCTGGTCTCCCTTCATGGGATGCTGCAGGAGGGACTTAAGACCTGTCATGGAGTTCAGATGCCCCCCTGTGAGGGAGCCTGCAGGCTGAGTACAACTTCCAAACTGTGGGCTTGCGCCAGCTGGGAGGTCGGGGGTCGGAAGCTGGGAGAGCTGCCTGGACATTCTGGACCAGACGGGGTCGCAAAGAGACACCTGGGGCACTTGAAGAGGCGTGGCAAACTGACCCGAGTACCTACCAATGGGACAAGTTTGCAGGATGAGTATGCGTGAGTATGCACGAGAGTGGAAGGGGGGGGAGGGGGGGGGGGGGTGCAGAGCAGGGAGAGTACACAGAGATAGTTCTAAGATGTTTCCAAGCAGAACAAAGACATCGTTGTAATGAATTAAGAGTATTAATGACATAGTATAATTTTAGTCTAACTTTGAAGGTTAAGTCAGAAAACACATGCAACTTTTACCTTACAGTTGTAGTTCCGATCGCGTCTCTTAGACTCTGGCAAAAATGTTTTCATCAAAATATTCCATCGCTGTAAATTGCTGATAAAGTGTTCTGAAAAGACAATTTCTATTCTCTGAGGATCGGTGTGGGAGGGACAGTCAGACCATCTGAGTGGGAATACTGTCCATAATAAAATTCAAAAAACACGAAAACGACAATGAAATCCGCTAACACACCCACGAACCGGTTTAAAAAATCTGTTAGAAAAATGAAGAGCAATAATCCGAGTAAATCGTCCGGCGATCGAAAAACGACTCCAAAATAGTTGCAAAGTAAACCTCCGTCAAACCAAAACAACCGACAGGGAACAGTGTGTATGAAACATACACACAGCGACAGGGCAGTGGCTGTTGGTCAGATGACAAGTTGCATTGGTGTTTCTCTCCTGTGCTGTCGCGCTTTGCTGTCCCTCGTGGGGGGAGGAGGGGTCGTTTCCTCTTTCTCTGTCTGTACTATTTTGCATCCGGTGGATCTAGTCACGGGCGCACGGGTTTTCGGTCTGTGTTTGGGCCGAGCGACGTACACGTCCGACTGTCCTCTCTCTCCTTTTCTCTCAGCTGGAACTGACACGGGCAGTTCACGTGACGTCACACCTCGAGGAATAAACGAGCGAAGGCGCGAGGGGGGCGTGGCGCGAGTTTAAGAGCCCTCTCTAAGCTCGGTTATTATTTATGAGGCACACCTACCCTCGTGCCGCACATCGAGGAGAACATTGAGTTTGTTTTGTCTGACAGGTACAAGAACTGTGACTCTTCCCGGTTTGTTTATGCTAAAACAAAAAAAGACGAATATCAGTTCAAACTGAAACATTAAGACTGAAACTATGGTGTATTCACACAAGTTGGCCATCTCAAATTACTAATTTATAGATGATCGGTGTTCCTGACTGTAAACTTTATCTTTTTCTACTATAGAAGTGTTTTGGCCTCTTAAAATAATCAGGTAGACCAGCATGGCTTTTCCAGTCACATAGTAATCCTCGCAAAACGTGAGTATGCCGTTTTTTCAGGCGAAAGGAACGCTTTAGCACGTTGCCTCCCGGCGTACAATAGCTGTTCCAGCACACGTGTATCAAGCACGGGGACACCAGGCTATTCTGCTCGCGGCACTGTGTCTGATTGGCTCTAGAAATTCGTCACTCCGCCCACAGCGGACGCCTATTGGACAGAATTAGGTCGAATAAACCCGCCCGCTCGGATTCCCCTCATGCATGCCACTGCCGCGTGAGACCAGTTCGAAACACAAAAAGCGCGAGGGCTGTCTTGCCTACTGTACTATTTCACAGCACATGCAAAAAACAACGCGCAGCGGGATTTCACCTCATGTTCTTTACATGCAAAGGTTGACAAATATGGAGCTGATAGACTCCGATTTACAACCAGCTCGATGCATGACTGAAGAGTTTAAACCCACAAGTCTAATACACTTAATTAAATGTATACTGAATAATACTTTGCTGTCAAGTGTTAGTATGAGGGTCCATTCAGCACATCGAACCAAGACCCCAATGTTTCTTAAAATCACAACAATCCAAGAGAAGTTTTCTCTAGCAGCCTCCCCTTGACCTTCTGTCACCACATATTAAATTACAAAGTGTAGAAGACATATTTTTAGTTTGCAAGACAGAGAAATGGATTATAATTACAGGCTTAAATGCAAATGTATTCACTTTTAAATGAATTGCTTTAAAATACTACCAACTCAGTCAGCCACGGGAACAAGTATTTAGACCTCACTGGGGCAGACTTATCATACAACATTAATATCACGTATTAGGTGACATATTTCATTTATTCCTGCTGCAATTTAGTTGCTCACATGTGCACAGTTACATCTATAGAATTTTCCCTCATTCATTGGTGTGAACTGACATCCATGTATTGCTGAAATATTTTACTTTGTGGCATAAATTGTGTAGTTAATGGCAGAAAGGCACATAATACAAACAGTAATTTTAACACTCAGCCACTCTAGTCCACCCCCTATCAGTGCAAAGTCCATGTGACTGCTACATACACACCAGCACAAGAGTACAGTATAAATGAGTTGCTTACTGCCATCTAGTGGAGCTGGTAAACATAAGTTTAACACTTTTATGTCCACCACTGATACGCTACCATTTTTAAGCACTGATAATTCATTACTCTGGTGTATTGTGCAACATTGGTAAAACTAGTGAGCCCAAGATCTTCTATGATAAGTTAATTTGTATTTAATACAGAACATAATGCAAAATTTTACTGTAGTACTTCAATTACACAATTACTGTAAAACTTCATGTTGTAGAAAAGTATCTGAGATGACACATTGAAAGAAAATGACTGATTACACTTAAGGTTTATTCATTGCTGAAATATAATCAACTACAGACTTCTCAGTAAATAATGTGATAAAAATTCTACTAAAACTATTATTTTTCTTTAGAAGAAAAAAAGGCTTGACGGGGGTTTGAACATGTCATATGTGAATAAAGTGACAAGATGTACTTCAAACATAGAAAGAAAAAACAAAGCGTAACAGTAAGAATATGATTGCAACTCAGCAAAAAATAAAACATTGAAGGGTTAAGTATAAGATTGGCAAGAAGACTGATTGGATTACACACATAAATACATGGAATATTACATTTGTTTCTATTGTGATAGGTCCTTGTCTTAAACACACTGTGAATTACTGTAGAAATAATCACTGCTAAAAAGAGCATACAAATAACACAAGATAAACATGTGTTACAGTCCACTTGTTTAACCTGTTTCAATCTTGGTATAAAAGCTAGGAATATCTCAAATAAATGAAGTTAAGTGAACATATTAAGCAAGGCTTTTGTAAGTTTCTTTGTTTTGGCAGGAGAGGGATCATTTTAACGCTAATTACCAGCAACTTGACATTTAATCTATACGTGATTAAATCACTAGGGAATATAGAGCAACCTTCAAATCATGATTAACACTACAAACTTCTGGGGATATACTGAATAAACCATCACATACTGTAGGAGTGATTTCACAACCTCAGCAAAAAACTTGACCAGAGAACATACATGCACTGACAAACTATCAACAAAGGTCTTTGTCCCAATATCCCTATTCCTATTAAATGCACTTTACATTATTAAAAAATCCCCAGAGCCTCTAAGTGAACAACAACAAGACAAAGTACACAGCAGAGACGTTTATCATACAGCAAGAGGTGTAGCAGGGATTCTAGGGGAGGGATACATTAGCAGGTCATTTCACCTAAACTTGTCTAGTAACTGCACAGTGTCAGCCAAGCATAGTGTCAATGCACTTAAGGGGTTAATGAACCTATGGAAACAGTCACGTCTTTGAAAACATATTCCAATATAATCTGGAAGAATTTCTGGTGATATCTTATACAATGCTCTACAGTAGTTGTTAACACTCATTCTAATAGTCAGCAGAGTAAATGTCAACTGAGACATGAAGCAAATTCTCATGAAGGCAGCATAAGCCTGCTCAAGTCCCTTTTTCATAACCTTCCTATTTAAGGACTGAAATATCCCTCATGTATGCCACCTGTGCCAAATACCAGGATGCTCAGTATCTGTATGGTCCCTGTAGGAATGGCATCTCCTCCTGACCCTCATGGATCTGTCTCTCTCCAGATCTCTTTGAAAGCTTCAGCCTATTAGCATCTCCTCGCTGCAGTCCTTTGGCCCTACGGTGGCAAGAGATCTTGTGCCGTTTGAGAAGTATAGCATTCCAGAAGCAAGTGGAACAGCGTCGGCAGGAGAAAGTCCCTCTGGCACGATGGGAGGCCCTGTGGATGAAGGCTGCCAAAGCCCTGTGAGATTGCTTCCCACATACACTGCACCTTAGTCGCTCCAGAGTGGTCGAGCCTTTTTGTCTGTGCTTAACTGACATGTGGACTAGCAGTCCTGCTTTGCGAGAGAACACAGAATTGGGGCATTTTGGACAACCAAAACGTTTCACAGGGACTTTGAGAGAGGACAGAATCTGCACCTTCATGCCCCCAGTGTTGACAAGCTTATAGCCACCACCACCTGATCCACCTCCTCGTCGAATTGTCAAACGGAGAGAGCCTTGTTTTTTAGATACCTGCCCCCTTATAGTACAACTTATCTTCTTCCTTTTGCTTCCATCCAATCTGACTACATTGTGGGATTCCCTCTTATTTTCCCTCCAATCTCTCTGTTTGGACTTTTTTTTTTTCTTCTTGTTTCGTCTCACGTCATCATGTGACAACTGGTTGCTGCAGTCAAGGTGTTGGTGGGACTGGGCACCTGACTGATGATGAGGATGATGTTGGGAGTGATGATGATGGTGATGCAGATGATGATGTTCAGTGGAGGGCAGTTCCGTGAGGGGCTGAAAAGGGGCTGTGGTGTGCAGTGTACGGCTACGGGATCCAGCTGGATATATATGCTCTCCTTTCACCCCAGCTGGGGAATGTGGATGCTGGGGGGCCATTATTGTTGAGTTTGGAGGCAGAGGCTGTGAATATGATAGAGCATTAGTGGCTGAAGAATGAGCCGCATCATAAAAGAGGGGTGAGTAGCCAGCTGGTGGTTGTGGAGGTGGCTGTTGGTGGCTATGAGTGACAACACTGAGACTCTGCCCTCCATGACCTTCTGAGGAAGGATCCATTTGGAGAAGGGCATTTGTGGCGGCTTCACTTTCTG